AATTAAATTCTGAAATAACCAATGAGTTTTGATTTGCTTTGAAGAGTTCGATATATTAACAATAAAAAATCCGTCGAAAACGTTTTTTTTTTTGTTTTAAATACTATATCATACTATATCATAAAATAAAATATAATCGGTAATGAACTCTTATTAAAAATATGCTTAATCAATTAACTTACTTACTAAAAATTTAAGAAGTTTATTTTTTTTCATAATTAAAGTAAAGTAAAAATGTGATGTTCAAATTTTTCAAATGAATCATTTTTTTTAAATAATAATGTTATTGATAGTTTCTGTGAAAGATACCTAATCACCGTACAAGTAACTCTAATAGAAATCGAAAGTCGCGGTTTACGGTGTATGGCGTTCTAAATAAGATAGATAATTTTTAAATTATACTTATTAATAAAATTGAAATTTCTATCTAGCAATCTATACTCACAGATAAATAAAATTCAAATGTCTGTTTGTAATATAAAAATAACAGCTTTTTATTAAATGCATATTAAATTATATACAGTGCTTATAATAAAAACACAATTTTTAACATTTTTGTCTGTCTGTCTGTAACTTAGGCTACTTTTACTTTAGAAAAAGAATTAGGGTTTCCCAAAACAAATTAAAACCTACCTTGAGATGAACCCGGGCGAAGCGAGGGTGAGTCGCTAGTTTAAAATATTCAGCTATTCCATATTAAGCTTATATGTTTATAGTTTAGGCTACTATTAACTACCTTCAACTCTCCATTACACTACGGCGAGTTTCGTTGCGGCTTTTAGTAAGTAGAAGACTTGCAGTCCAGGGGACTGATCCCGTTGATAGCAGTATGTGTAAGAATCTTACCCCATGATGGGTTTCTCTATCATGTGGGAATATTTTCCTATTATAAAATACGTAGGTCACTCTTTATCTTGGTAAAGGAAATGGGTCCCTGGGAATACAAAACTTGAGATAATAGTTTAACCGAGTTAGTGAAAAAGGTTCAAGTAATAATAAATAAGCTATTTATTGTCGTAGTACAGTCGCTGGCAAAAGCTTGTATAAAATGAGTATCATATTAAAGCGCCAGAGAAAGTCGTTAAAGGCGAACTTTTCTGATAGGATTATTTATTATAAACAGAATTACTTAACTAAAAGTTCTCTACGTTGTTTCGTAGTATCCCTTTCACCCCTTATAATAGATTTATTTTTAGTACTTACGCCATATTATTTTTAGTCATTTTACGCTGTAGTTCGACTCACAAGTATTTACATCGATGAAAATCTAGAAAATCGTCTATATAAGATATTCATTGCATTATATATTTATTATATAATTTTTAAAGTTCGATTTAGGTTCGTTCTAACCTAAGATAAAAATAGTGGGACTCACTTAAAAATAGAAACCTATCTTTACAATACTGAATTGTACAAAGATTAAAGAAAATATTGTATAAAAAACAAAGAAAAAGAACACTTAATTCCTGCGAAGGCGAATAGGGGGCCACTTGAGTTTTTACGTAATTCGGAAACATATTTAAGGCCAAATATAACCCGAATGCAGAAATTTCAAATTTGCTTATTAAAATTTACTTTTCTCAAGGTAACAAGTATCAGCATAATTAAGAATTGGGAATATAAAAGGTATAAAGTTACTCTAAGTATGTATGTTTTATATTTAATTAAATAGATATTAAATAGATAATTCTTTTTTCTTTTTTTCCTTTAAGGGATAGCTCAGAGTTGGTCCCATTTAAATTTAAAAAAAAATCCACCGTTAGGTGTAGAAAATAGAGGATGATTGAATTTGATTTGAATACTGAATTTTTAAAATACATTCTTCTTACTTTGCTACTATGTACTATGTATGTATGTCTATATTAACAACAGAAAAATAAAAACTTTTAAGAACAAATAAAAACAGATTTCAAAAAAAAATACAATAAAAAGTAAAAAAATAACTGATTGATAGTTTTCATTTACTATAGTTCGACTCGCACTTGGCAAGTTTTTATTTTTTTCTTAAAATTGAGAATTAATTAAAAATGTATAAAACAATTACGCTTGCACAATATACAATACAATTGGCAAATATATTTTTGGCAACTCGATTATTGTTTAATCTTTTAATTTAGGACTCACATGAAGGGTTTCGTACCATTATCTATAAAAACAGCATAAAAATCACGTTTGTTGTATGTGAGCCCCCTTAAATATTTTGTTTTATTCCATTGTTTTGTATTTGTTGTTATAGCGGCAACAGAAATACATCATCTGTGAAAATTTCAACTGTTTAACTATCACGGTTCATGGGATACAGCCTGGTCACAGACGGATAGACAGACGGACGGACAGCGGAGTCTTAGTAATAGGGTCCCGTTTTACCCTTTGGGTACGGAACTCTTAAATACTCTGTTGTGAACGCAGAGCCCGAACCATACTCGAAACATGCGGTTTCTCGATAACCAATCACAGCGCGAGGACCTTGGGCCCCCATCAGCTGCTCGCATACCTCGATAAGCTATCTTTCTCGCACCTATGGCTACGCATAAGACTTTTTTGTAGTACTAATTTGTAAACTTTATTTACGTCTGGGAATGGTTTATAACCGGTAAACTCGTCTGGCGATTCGCGAGTATTATTGAAAATTATTCAATAAATACGTGATTAAAATTTCAGATTGCCAAAAGTATATTTTTTGGGAATTTTGATAAAACATCTTTGGAGAGGTCTGGCAATACTTTATAACCGACAAAAATGTCTGGGGTTCTTTTTTTTGAATTATATGAAAACTAAATTATAATATTAAAGAAAAATCAAGTTGCCAAAAATATGTTTTTTTTGGATATTTTTTTGCAAATGTTATATACTGCGCAGTAGCGAAATAACCGCTAACGCTGTACCAGACTCGCGGGACTGGACTCGCCAATTCACGAAATTATATTTTTTCACAATTTCAACTTGCCAAAAGGACCTTCCCAAAATTCGTCGCCAGCTCTCGGGCTATTGTAAAATATGTACTTTTAATTAACGAATATTTTACTAATTCAAAATATTGTCTAAGATCACTAATATTTTATGATTTTCCGTGTTTATTAAAGTAAGCTTATCTACGAGTATATTTATTAATTGATTGGCTGTTTAATGATGTTTGTTTTTTTATCATACCATCGTTTACTGCTGGAAGAAAGCCTCTTGAAAAAGTTATTATATAATACATATATTATTTATATTTAATCGGGAATATAAATAAAACGCTAGTTCAAGGAATTCGGATTTTAATGGTCAAAATATTTTTTTAATTTTATACAAAAATAATACATATTATACATTTTATGTTAACAGTATGTATAACTAATTGAATATCTATTCAGTTCACATTCATGCTTACAACATTTAAACTGCAAAGAAATTTCTCATTACCATGTTGAAATTATTTTAATACATAACAATTAATAAGCAAGGTAATGTAAATAATCTTATAGTAAACAATATATTAAGATGATTTTTCATAACTATTGATTATTATCAAAGAATTAATTACGCTAATGACTGCTTCGACGTTTTTTACCATTTTTACATTAACTTTGATTTTTGTTACCACCAAACTTGTATAGACTGCTGAGGTAATCTGCATTTAATGATAATATATTAAAAAAGAAATTAAAAAAAGTAAAAATAATAATTTTACTTGTTATGCCTAAATAAATAGGCAGGTCGAACTTCGAGAGGGAGGTCAATCGGCGAATCAAATTCGGTAGACAAGCATTTGGGTAGTTTAAAATACCAGTGACTAAAGGTAAAAGTTTTCAACCAGTATATTATTTTCATATATTGCTAGAGATTAAATACATAGAGACGTGGTCGCTTACGATAGGATATTTAAGAAAGTTCCAGTTCACCCACACAGCAATGGAGAGGACTGTGCTTGGAGGTTTCCTGCGAATAAATGAAATACGCAGAAAGGGCTAAGATCACCGAAACCGAAATAGCCCGCCGAAAATCCAAGCTTTAAGAGGCAGTGGATGGGGCACGTTCCTCGCAAAATCGATAGTCGTTGGGAATTTTTATGCGTTTCGGACTTCGGATTCGGATTCCATATTTCCATTAAGTTGATCAATTTTTTTGAATTACATATATTCATTAGTAGCAAATTGAATTTATTAATATATTTCGAAAACGTTAGCAATTCATTTTTTTTCTTTTAAATCAATTTACAACAAGGTTTTGAAATAATAAATGAAGTTTTTCTTGAAAAAATCCCTGAATTGTCAAAAATGATCTCTAGACTCCCTCTAGTCTAATCACTAAACGTAATAAATTCTAAAACTTAATACTATAAAATTCTAAAGTGGTTTTAAAAAGTAAAAAGCGTATAATTTTCTAAATTAATTTCTAAATAAAGTCTATTAACAAATATTATAAATGAAAATGTTACAGATAAAAAATAATAAGAGATGATATTACTTTACCTTTTCTCGTGCAACCATTAATCTATTTTAATATTCGTATAACAATAAAATTATTTTATACGAAAATATGTTATTTACATGAAAACTAAATAACAACTGATATTTTTAAAATAACCCTAGTCATTATATATTATTTGGATATTTGAATCTAATATCTTTGTTTTTTTAATGCTAGAAATAAAATCCAAGTATATGTACAAGATGATACAATTTATATTCAGCTCATTTATATGTTTAGAAAGTAAAATAAATTTAAACGTAGCCCATAAAAGGTTTTCCTTAAAAGTTAAAATCATAAATATATTGATTCTAACATACATTAGAATAAAATTTAGATCCAATCTTGAGATACCACATTTTAAAACTTATTTCATATACCTAATAAATTTTTTTATTAGCCTCATTGAGGTACTAAGTAATGTATAATTTATAATTATGTAACTATAACATGATTTCATTACTTAATATGAAATATAAAATTCTATAATTGAATTAGACACAACCTAACTAAGAAGTCCTTAGGCCATCATTTGTTTGTAGACTTTACACTTTACGTCCGTGGATGTAAGCTGAAACAAAAACAAAAAACAGGTAATTTATATATTTTTCTAAAAAATATTTTGATCACATCTTTTACATGCGACATGTTCTTCTTCTCGAAAAGTTTTTTAATACCTTATTCAGTGCTACATGCCGACTTACTGTTTCAGAAACTTTAACGTTCCGTCAAGTGGAGCTGTATATAATTTTTCTCATGACAAACAGGACGAGCAGACGCAACAAGCGATATAAATAGTACAATTATATTTAGTCACTAGCATTGCCCGCGGCTCCGCCCGCGTTTAGATGACCAAAAACCAAATTCTTAGATTTTACATATTAGTATACTCTTACAATGCATTTTTTGTATTTTTTCTCAGAAATGAAATATTTTTCCGCGGTAAAAAGTATCCTTTAAGTTGACCCGGATAACCAGCTATCACCGTCAAAATCTTTCCAGTGGTTTTTCTGTGAAGCGGTAACAGACAGACATGCAGACCGACAGACAGACCAACAGACAAACAAAAAGACATTACCGGCTTTTTGAGCAGTTATGTTTCTGGTTCTGAACTACTTAGTTCTACTTAGACTGTTAATTTTAGCTTTACGATCTTTAATTAAAACGTGCCATCTGAGGCTAATCCAATTTACCCACAATAAATTATTCGAGCAACAAATTAGCTCTTAAAAGGATTCAATTAATTTATACAGAAGCGTTCAAGTTTATTTGTCTAATAAAAAAGTACACATTCAAATATAAAAACTCGATTAAATAAACTTTTAACTGCTTAGTTGAGTAAACTAGTCAAAAAATAAATGCAGACTTCAAATATTGAAAGTAGTTTCGCATCTATAAAGTTTGTTGATGTTTAATTATGTTAATAGTTTTTTTGCAAATAGTCAATAGTTATTTCTGTTACCAAAAAAATGGTATAAGATGTAATGTATATAAAGTTAGATGTGATAAATTGTATTTTTTGCGTTTTGTAAATAAATAAAGATAAGACAAGAGAATGAAGAAAACATAGAATAGAGATTCCTGGGAGATCAGGTGTAGGACTCAGATTTCCGTCTGCTTATGAGACAGAAAAAAAACAATAATCATTTCGGCCCGACCTGGAACCCGAACTCAGGACTCATCTGCATCTCTACATGATAGCGATGTAGCGACATAGGAAGTTTTTGTATCCGTATATTATAATAAAGTTTTATACTATATATGTTGTATTTTATACCCAAAAAAGATAAAAATATATGAAAATGATTTAGTTAACTACTGTGTGCCTTTATAGCAAATTGGATCATTGATATTTTGGGTTTTAATATGTACTTAAGAGTTTTCGTGTCATAGGGATATAAATTGTGTACAAAAATCTAAATAAAATAAACAAGCGAACATGACTTCGTTTGACATTATAATAATATCCTCCTGAACGATTTCGGTCACGGCAGCCAATCTAACTGAGACTAGCCAGATACTCAGGAAATATCATTGTTCAATGTTCACAAGTGTACGTGCAGACACAAGTTTACTTTCTATTCCTTTTACTCTTAAAGTCCGATGTACTTTGACACGACCGGTGAGGGTTAAAGTACAGGACTGACGGCTTTACGTGCTCTCCAAGGCACGGGGACGAAACACCGCCTGTTACCGAGAATATCTTAATAGAAAAACTCTGATAGTCCTTAAACTTAGGCCGACCCGGGACTCAAACCCAGTACCTCCAGACCTGCAGCAGTACATGCTAGATGCTAAACCACCGAGGCAGCTATGGCAGTTATGACACAAATATAGATTTTCCAGAGAAAAGTGATGAAACTTGTATAATATTTGTTATGATATATCTTATATTACTTAATAATAAAATTGTAACTAATATACATATAATAAAATTGTAACTAAGCCGAATCTGTACATTAAATATTTTTTGGAAAATCTTATTGAAATAGACATTATTATCGATACAGAGGCCGAGTCGACAGTTTTTATAAATTTTGTCTGTCTGTCTGTTACCGCATCACAGAAAAACCACTGGAGGGATTTTAATGAAATTTGGTATGGTGATAGCTGGTTATCCATGTGAATATAAGGATTCTTTTTACCGTGGGAAAATATCTCTTTTCTGAGAAAAAATGCAAAAACTGCAATGTAAGAGTATACTAATCTGTAAAACCTAAGAATTGGGTTTTTGGTCATCTGAACGAGGGCGGAGCCGTAGGCAATGCGAGTAAGTTATAAAATTTCCTTCTTATAACTCTTCAATTTTTAGTTTTTTTTTGTTTATTACTTTGTTATACCAAGACGTTTTAAATTCTCGAAATATTTACAAAGAACCTTTATTCCAAGAGCTCTGACTATGCGTAAATAATCGTGCGGCATCTGGATCGATAGGGAATTTTTATATGGCATTTGTATAAGAGAGATTTTATTGTTAAATTCTTTAATCTAAATTGATTTTTTTCCTTAAATATTTAGCAATTTTATTTTTTACATGTAGAATAAAATGTAAACTAAATCTGCTATTTTAATAAAATCGACATTTGTATTTCTACAATTAAGTCCTATGAAATAACATAACCCAAAATGATTTCTTTCCATTTATTTTAATAGAAAACAAATAATAAGGATTTGGTAAAGCATTAACATCGAAGAGTCTTCGGACGTACTAATTCAACCTTAATTAGGGCTTAAATAAATAACAATTAGAAAGAGGATCAAAACGCAAGTTTGTGTTCTTTACGTTTGGTCAGATAATAAGGAGAAAACTAGCTTTAAACATCTAGGTACATTTCGATTGACAAAAAATATGTATACTTCCACGTGTAGGTTTTACTTGAATATAAAATAGCTTCCATGTTTCCCTCTCAGCATAATTAGTAGTTCTGCGAACAGCAGAGCTCGCAAGGAGGCACTGAATTTTGAGGAGCTATTATACTCAGCACGCCGAAGGTCCTCATCAGATCTTCATTTTTTATATGAGACTAACTTAAAGTTACCACCTTTTAAGTTACATGATGTTCTCCTGACCGATTCCGGCCACGGCGGCCAATCTCATTGAGACTAGCCAACTGCGCAGGAGATATTATATTGCACAAGTGTACGCGCAGACATAACGTGCACTCTATATTCCTATTACTCTCATCCTCCGGTGGGACGACACGAGGCCTGACCAGTGAGAGTTAAGGCGCAGGACCGACGGCTTTACGTGCTCTCCGAGGCACGGGGGTGAAACACCGCCAACTTCCCAACTCCGGGCTGCTACTGAGACTTACTATACAGAAAGACTCAATAACTAAACTTGGCCCGACCTGGGAATCGAACCCAGGACCTCCGGGTGTACGGCCGAATATGCTAGCCACTACACCACCGAGGCAGTTAAAGTTAAGTTACATATATAATACCTAATGTAAAAACTCTACTTATACATACATACATATATTTACATATACATAAACATACTTAATATATAAAATATAAAAACAGAAAAAGTTATACCTAAACAAATAAATACGGTAAAAGAACGTATTAAGTTTTCCGCTAATAATTAAAAAAATAAATAATTAAGAAATTAAAAAAAAGATCCTCAAAGAGGAGGAAATTTTCAATTAAAAAATGTTGACTCCCGGAACTTTACCTTCGTTATTTATAATTTGAATTTAACTCTATTAAATTTTAATTTAATAGGGTTTCAAGCGATTAATGAGGTGTGCGCGCGACGCCTCTAAAGCGAGTACGTCATGTAAAATATATTTTTACAGTATCAAATATCAATATAAAGTTTTGAATAAATTATGGCGTATTGTGTAAACACTTAAAAAGTTTAAAAGTTAATTTCGTCGAACCTTCGTTGTCTTTGAAGACAACAAAAAATGCTTACATAATTGGTCTATAAATTTTTCGTTTCTTGGAGCCCTTTCTTATAAATATATACGAGTACTTAACAAGATCATATCATGAAAGTTTTTAAAATTCTAAAACCTTCTCTTTTCCTTTTTATTTCTTAGTAACTATTGCAATTTATTACATACTAAAATGGTTTAAATATATTTTTCTAGACGTCATTCCCGATCTAATGAACTGTCGCAAATATTTTTAGGACCTTTATCTCTACTTGACCTAGACTACTTTGCTCGCTCGTTCAATAATGTGTGATTTTTGTAGCGATTCTCTGATAAATACAATAACATTGTAATAATTTTACAAGAATAGCTAATAAAGAGCTTTAGGTATAAAATAATCGTATGGTAAATTAATATTCTATTAAATATTAAAAAAATGCTGTAGTCAAAAATGTAACTGATACAACAAGAAAGAGATTTTATGTGGTTAAAATTGTACATTTAATATGTGTGTATTATTTTTTATTATCAAAATATTATAATTAAATTTTGATAAATTTTGGGGTTTTTGTTATAGAAACCATATCATGTTCTGTAGATCAGGTTTAAAGTCTGGAGACCTCCCAAATAGTAAGTATATATAAAGAGAATTGATGTCTTGGAAGAAATAAAAGAGATGTAGAGCGCGTAATACACTAAAAATAGTGAGTAATAGTCATTTAAAAAAAGACAAAAATCTGTAGCTACTCCACAATTGAAATATGGTGAACGAAGTATATATTGTCATCTTACAATAAAATATTTCAAGAATTATGTATGAATTTTCAATCTACCTTTAACTATTTCAGGCTACCAAAGTACTCTACATTAAAATTGTCAGCCATTTTTACCTGTAAACATAATTTCGAAAATTTTAGTCTTGCTTTATATATTGATACAATGTGTACATATTATGATGTCAATGTAATTATGATATAAAATATAATATTATTTTTCTCACCATCGTAATAAGTTCGATGGGAGCATCTCGGGCAGCTAGCAAGCGAACGCGGTCTCTGCGACTGCAGGGGGTCCCGATACGAGCGCTGCCATTCGAGTGCTGCATTTCCTCTTAAACTTCGTGGCTCCTCTACACCTGTTGATGCGCAAACTGCGCTGGTTATTTTTATAACACAGATTATCTATATAAGAATTTCTACTTTATTTTCATTGCAGAGAAGAAACAAAATTAGTCAAGTGCGAGTCGAACTTTTGTAACCTGTGTAAAGTATAATTTTTATATGTATTTTCAATATATATTGTTTTTCTTCTTCTGCGTATATTAGAATAAAATATCATTCTCTCATATAGTTTGCGAATTCTGTAAAATATGTAAGGCTATTGATGAAAGTTAATTACCAATACTGTATATATATATACAGATATACTGTATATATATATATATATATATATATATGATAGTGTATTTAAATACTAAACTTCACCTTTCATTCATTGAATATGAAGAAAATTGGTCGTAACAGACAGACAAGATATTGAGTGATTACATAAAGGTTTCATTTTAACTTGTTTAGGTTCCTGTACATGTGATGTCCGAAATCGTAAAAAGTAATAAATGCTGTTAATCTTCTATGAAACAAAACGATACAATGCTAGATATCAAAGCCCTTTCCTTTGTTAGAATAATATTCTAAGTAGTAAGACACAGAATAGATAAAAGTACTGACGTACCTAAACCTTTTGGCGGCCGTTTAGAATTGGGGACTTGGCCCCTAGCGGAGTGGGTGGTATTTCTGGATAAGGGACGTGATAGGGAGTCGAAATGTTAAAAAAAAATTGTCCGCGAACGTATGAGTAAAAAGTTATTGAGACTTAAAGTTACAACATTTCCATACATTATTTTGACATTACTACCATTTAGACACTTGGAGTCAAAACGTCACTTTCAATTGTCAAAATGATCTCCAGATGATTGTCTTTATTTGTACTTTGCGTGAAATTCGAATTTTCTAGTTTTCTAGTCATTTATGGCACTCGCCGGCCGCTACCGCGGCACGCTCGCTTCGCTCGCTCGGCTCGTGCGTTGTGGCAACTGTTCTAACCTAACCTAACCAAGATATGAGGAATAATAAATAAATAATCTTAAATGTTCTAACCTAACCTAACCCAGATATGAGGAATAATAAATAAATAAATAATCTTAAATGTTCTAACCTAACCTAACCCAGATATGAGGAATAATAAATAAATTATCTTAAATATTCTAACCTAACCTAACCCAGATATGAGGAATAATAAATAAATAATCTTAAATGTTCTAACCTAACCTAACCAAGATATGACGAATAATAAATAAATAACCTATGTCTTAAACTAACCACGATGTCGCAAAATAAAAACCAAAAGTAAATAATACATTTAGATTTTAAAAATAGTCTACTCACGTTTATAAATTGTTTACACTAACACTATGAACACTTAAAACTATAAAAATAATATTAAAACAAAAACAAGAAACGAAAGTATATAAAAATTAACAAAAACTAATAACTAATGGAAAATACACAGAGTACAGAGTCACAAATTATGAAACTTCGCGGTATTTTAAGAACACCCGCCAATAATACTGAAAAATATTCACAGATAAAAAAATGTTTTTTTTTTACTAAATGTACAATTGTAAAACAATATATTTTACATAAATCAGATAAAAAATCATAAATGTATTTATGAAATGAAAATAATATTTTTCTTTTTATTTATTTATTTATTAATATTAATATTTTACCAACAGAAAAAGCAAAAATAATCAAATATAATCTGTTGTCATTTAAGCGGTAATATAAAACAAAGTGTCAGTTTTGCTTTTGTCAAAATGTAAGATCATTTTGTTTGTGTTGTGAAATTATTAAAATATTAAATACAATAAAGCATTAATTGTTGTGAAAATGTGTAATGTACATAAAAAAGGATGCGTACTATTCGTTAAAGGTATGTTTATCTGTTGTAATCACTTACTTAGGTAAAGAAATGTATGGAAATGTGTTAGATACGTTATAACTTTAAGTCTCAATAACTTTTTACTCGTACGTTTCCTCCAAATATTTTTAATATATTTTGACTCTCTGTCACCTCCCCTATCTAAAAATACCACCCACTCCGAATGGTGGTAAAGAAATATATGAAAATGTATGGAAATGTTGTAACTTTAAGTCTCAATAACTTTTTACTCATACGTTCGCGGACAATTTTTATTTAACATTTCGACTCCCTATCACGTCCCTTATCCAGAAATACCACCCACTCCGCTAGGGGCCAAGTCCCCAATTCTGAATTTGTGCCAACCTTTTATATAATTAAATAAATAAATACGTTGGGACATTAACACACAGTGCAATCTAGTTCCATGGTAAGCTACGAGGCTTGATCGATATCAGATAGTTGATACACTACACATATATAACTTTAAATACATACATATTATAAATAAATATACATATTATAATTATGTAATTCTATGATTATATCATTTATATCCCATGGAAACTAATTTTTGACGACAAAAAAGCTATGCATTCATAATAAACATATACTTGAAGATTAGTATGGTGTGTATTAGTGACGGCGACTAAGCAGTGAGAAAGAAACACATGACAGAAACCTTTATTTAATCTTTTTTTATCAATAAGGCAATAAATAGTATGTTATGTAATAATAGTGTAAATAGAAATACACTTATTGTTTGTCAAAAACTCAAAGTGTCAATATCGTGTCAACGTCAAAAAAATACCTACATATGAGAAAAACAAAAAGAACAGCCGAAAGAAACTCAGAATATGTACAAAAATGTTATAACATTTTTTATATTCCATTAAGGGATTATTTATGCTGAAAAGGTAAAATGGATTTTTACTTTTTCAAGCAATAAAGGTTCAATGAAATTGAGTGAAACTCGTAAGCCACTTCAGTTTATAAAATCTTGGATTACCACATATGTAGGTATTTTATCTACAAATATATCAAAGAATGGTCATACGAGGTATATAACTTCGAACTAACAAATTGTCCTGTCTAAGCAATGACACTATTCATAAAAGTGCGTAAAATGATATTAGTCGACCAATTAGCAGCGTTGTAAGCATCTTAAAAATGGGTCGGTTTGTTAAAAAGACCTTTTGTTGTAAAATGTAAGAGGTTATGGAGATAGCGATCATGTTTTTAAATGGAACGATAACCATCAAAAGTTAGACGTAAATTGTTATTACCACAGTGACACTATGGGGATTGCGTGCATTATATCGTAAAATACCATACATATAAGTCGCATTACGTCGTCTTAGTGCTTATTTGTCCAAACGACCAATTTATCGAAATAGTTTTTATTACAGAATTATTGACTTCGAAATATCTAGAGGTAAAAATCATTGATATAGATTTTTTTACATTAATGTATAAAATACACATTTTACTTTAAAAAACCTATATATTTTATTTATATAAAATACATATGTATACATCAATTAAGTAGTATCTTTTATTATAACAACATTATACACAGTGAACAGTGTTGCTTCATCAAGGTAAATCTACAACCGATTCATGGTTTTGTGATACTCTTTGCTGATATCTACCTCGATACCTCGTACATTTTTAAACCGATCATAGTAAATCAAATTACGATGAAATAAACAGTGCTTTATCGCATATACTTCGCTGGTTTGAATTAAATAACCTAGTGTTAAATGCAAAAACAATGTGTGTTAAATGTAAATAAATCTTAGAAATAAAGCTTTACTTTTAAAATAGAGAAAAAAACCTACTGTAAAGTAGTTAAAAGAATTGGTCTTTTGAACAATAACTAAGCACAATTTCAATTAATTGGTAATTTATGAAAAAACTTTTTTTCTTAACTTGTACATATATATCTGTTACAGTCAAAAGTATTTTTTAGTGAAAACTTTTTTTGACTAATGAGGTTGGTCAAAAAGCCCGGGGGTTCAATTTTTATAAAGGAGTAACATAATGAAAGCTATGAAACAAATAGATTTCATTGAAATATATAATGTATAAAGTAGTAAAATATCAAAGATATCACTTTAATAATTACGTTAACGAGTAAAAACCTGATCGGGATCTGCTCCCCGATTGAGACATACAATCCGGCGGCGACTCCGGTAGCGGCCTCTTGCGACGAAAGCACGTATCCCGCCACCGACATAAAATAGCTGTCCGGAAGTATGACCTAAACCTATAAACAATGAAAAGAAATGAAAATATTTTTCTTTTTGAAGTATAACTTCTTTAGGCGTGACTGAGGGGTAAGTCGATACTTTGGAAAAATGAGTGTTGCGGAAGTGAGAGTAAAATTTATTATTAATAATTAAAATATATATATATATATATATATATATATATATTTTTTTTTTTTGATTTGTTTTAATTTAATTGCAGTGTCTGCCACAGCGCCAAAGAAGTTTTACTTCAACCGCGTAAAGGTCACATGCACTCTTTTTTTTAAATAATTTATGGAAAAGAGTCACAAAGGTTAAAAAATCGTACTTATATAGCTTTTACAAGTGCCCAATTATTAAATATAAAATAAATAAATATGTTGGTACATTAACACACAGCACCATCTAATTCCATTGTAAGCTACGAGGCTTGTGTTATGGATACCAGATAGTTGATACACTACACATATATAACTTTAAATACATACATATTATAAATATAAATATACACACCCATGACTGAAGTACAAACATTCATGCTCATAACACAAATGAATGCCCCCAGCGGGACTCGAACCCGCGACCGCTGGCACAGAAAGTAGGGTCACTACAAACTGAGCCAAACGTGTTGTCAATTATTATTATAACTTATTATATATTAAGAATATTTTAGATATATGTATTAAGAACATTTTAGATATAATATTCATGTCTAATATTTAATCGTATACATGACCTATGAATATGGCTTTCATTGAGTGAATTAAACTATTTTGTAAAATAATATTCAACTTTCTTTCGTGCGATTTTGTATGAGTCAATAAGCACTTCAGTTATGTTTTCTTTTACATTTATTTAAGAAGAATTGTTCAAAAACTCATGTAAAATGTCGTAAATTACTAAATACAACTATTTAAATTATGCGTGAATGAAATTTTGAAATATAAATTGAAGACAAAAACATGACAACCCTGTGAGTTATGTCCGAACTGCACGTAGCGATGTTATTATACCTACGCGGGTCACCCCACCTGCGTCTGCCCGCACGATTACTCTGTCAAATTCGATTCATTGCCCAATAGAACATATCATAGGTTTTGCCAACATACTCGTATGTAGTCGTGTTTTTAGTTTGTATTTTCCTTACACAGTACTGAAATAACGCATTTCAGTTTTTCTTTTGTATCAGTTTATGAGCCAGAGGATAACTTTTTTTTATAATCAAAATCATTAGTAGCTTATTGAAAGATTTGTAAATTCTTTTTAACATTAAAATGTATATAATACTTTGAATAAACAAAAGGATTTGGTCAAACTTGTAATATCATTAAGTCAACACAAAACAAAAACTATATTTAGAAAAACCCTTTGTACGCCTACGCATTTTACTAAGGGAGGGTACTTGTTACGAGAATATGAGATTTTCATGAATTTAGTTAACGCTGAAAGTGGTTGGCAGCATCAATTCTTAATTCACTTATGTCGAGTAAAAAAGAAAATTACGTTTTTTGTGTACTTTGAGTTCTCATTCATAACTGAAACCACTTGTTATGTTAAAGAAAATTCACAAATTTTGATTAGATTTTAGATGGACTTTTTAACTGACAGGTACGCCAACTTCTACGAGTAAATTATTTTAAAAATAACCATTCCACGTTTAGGGATTTTTTTATTATTCTGCTGTTTAGCAAGCAATATGGAATATATACAGATAAAGAAAATTGAAGTGTGTTTGTTTGTAATGTCAAAATATCAGCTTTTTAGTAATTGCATACGGAATTATATGATATTTTTAAGAAAAAGACAATTCAAAAAAAATTGACTGTCTGTCTGTCTATCTGTGTGTCTGTCTGTCTGTTTGTTCCGGCTAATCTCTGAAACGGCTAGGCCGATTTTGACGGGGCATTCACTGGCAGGTAATTGATGTTATAAGGAGTAACTTAGGCTACTTTTAATTCAGTAAAAGAATTAGGGTTCTGCTCAAAAAAAATTATACGTACCTACCTAGGGTCACGGTAAATTTAAAAATACAATAGTAACGGTCGATTAATATGGGTGTAAAGGATTATTTTTTATTTTATATTTATTACTAGAACACAACAACACAACAAATACATCACTTTAAAAACAATTTACCGTGGCAAGTATCAAATATCACAGACGAAATTGATAGATGGGACCAAGGAAGATGAAAAGTTGCCCTCTTTCATCTAAGTACTTTTCAACTGTATCCATTCATCGTAAATATTTAACATATCTATTGTACATTGAATTGTACAGAATTATATAAAACTAGGCATTTCCCGTAGCTTTGTTCGCATATTTCTAGGTAACATTATTAAATCTTATTTAGTCTTCTTTATATGTGCTTAGGGCTTAGGCATCAAATATAACCACGTAGACTATATTTATTATACTAATCTATCTAATTAGATTTTTATTATATGTATAGACTATATCTGTCAATAATGTAAATTAACAAAGAACTAATTATTAAAGCAAACTGACGTTCTGTTGGCGCTTTCATATTATTCACAATATGTTTTCGTATATAACCAAAACAGTGCCAATAAAATCTCATCACGCTATACATTAACTGCTTTTGCAAATATGTGGTTCAGTAAATTTTGTTTACTACTAATATTTTGCTTTTATATATCATCTCGTTTGTTCTGATGGAAAAAGGCTATTTACTCTTGTGTATGTCAAATACAAAATTGGTGTCATTAATTCGTTTTGGTTTCTTTTTAACCTTTGAGGGAAGAAAATTAATATCTATGTATGTTTTTCTAATCTCCAATTTTCACCAGTATTAAGGTATTGTGTGTTGACCGTGTGTGTGACAGTGATTTCCCACTGCTGGGCCTGGGCCTCCCATCAATACGAGTAGGCTCAGGCCATAGTCCATTACGCAGGCCAAGTGCAAGAAAAGAAGAAGAATGAAGAAGAAATGATTCGCACATGATAATATCAGAGGTGAGAGACCCGGATTTGAATCCGCTTCACTCGTTATTCCAAGCGAACGCATATAACCAAATAGATGGCGTTAGTCAAATTCGTATTTAATATGTACCTATTTAATTATCTCGAATTCATTCATATTCACTGGCTCACTGATAAAAAATAACGCTCTTTTACTGTTTATATTATGCACTAAACTTAAGTATACTATAAGAAAGCCGAATAAAAGTTAGAAATATGGATTTTTTGTTTTAATTGTGGTTCGGAAATCCAGCAAACAAATAAGCCAGCAATTTCACTGCCTGTATAAAAAAATCGCCGACTTCAATCGAAATCATCAAATTATTATTAAATCGGAAAAAAAACAGTTGAATCTTAAATTGAAGCCCTTACCAGATAATATGAAGTTCTAAACTTTATCAATTACTTTAAATGAACATTAAAGGGTATAGCGGGATAAGCATGGCCAAATGGCCCCTTCTCTAGATCTTGGGTCTTACTTACGTTGATTATTTGGCGAGTGGAACTGTGCAATAACATAGCATTTTTACCTCTTTATCATTAATAGTTTTGAAGATAATTATCTTTATTTATTTAAAAAAATATATCTTGATAAAAATGTATTTAAAATTGTATACACATTATGCGGCAGAATCTGCAAAATTACATTAAAGCTAATATGAACACTCTAACCTTACATTAACATTATAGAGTACTTACTTGGCATTCATCCAATAGTAAATAATTGGATTGACCATAGCATTAGCCATCGCTAGCCAGTAGAAGCCAAGATAGACATGCTGGATATACTTCATATACAATATGGTAGGATTAAAATGTGTGTAAATGAAGTACGAGTGGTACGGCAGCCAGCATATGCCGAATATTACTATGACCAGGATAAACATCTTCACCACCTGTTGACAAAGCAAATATTTAGTTAAAATATAACTATAATCTTAACTAATATTATAAAAAAGCAGAGTTTGTTTGTTTGCTTGTTTGTTTGTTTGTTGTCTGAACGCGCTAATCTCAGGAACTACTCATTCGATTGGAAAAATTCTGTTTGCATCAGATAGTCCGTTTATTGAGGAAAGCTATCTCATATAATATATAGTTTATCTATTCCATACTAACCATTAAAACGTACCTAGAAACGAACCCGAGCGAAGCCAGGGTGAGTCGCTAGTATAATTATATATAGATGATTTTTTAAAATGAATAACTTATTAACTCAACTTTTATACCTGCCGCTTTCTATTTTTAGATTTACTACAACAAATAATATAGATTTTAATCTAATTTTCCTTTGAAACTGTAAAACTTCCTGGATAAAAAAGGAAAATAATTGAAATATAATTTAGGCAGCAATGAGGCAGCAAAGAGAGCATGAAATCCTCTATACCAATAGAAGTAGATTTTTCAAAACCGAATACTACAAAGTAATATTTGTTCAATTTAATTCTTCATTTCGTGGCTTCTAGGAGTGCCAGGTAATATTCGTTTAATTTTGATATTCATTTTTGACAAGATTTGGAAAGTTTCGTTTTTGACAAGTTTTGAAGTTTCATTTTTGACATTTAAAGTTGCTAATTTATATTATAATAACGAACATTGAGCAACCGCCCCTAGCCTCGATTTTATTAGTTGGCGAACTTTTATATTATATTTTGTATAATGTAAAAAAATATGGATTTTATTTATTTCAAGGTTTATTTTCTTCTCTTTAGCGCATTAAAATAAAAGCTTGCTTTTACAATTTTTTTTTGTTATTGTACCTAAATAAAAATTTAGACAAAAATCTCATTTAAAATGTATAAACCACTTTTCCATGGGAACCAAGGATTAGAAGAAACCTATGTAACTTTCATTCGAATCCAGTACCGGACTGAGATGTTCCTCGTCCCAAGGAATAAATAAATTGATATAGTAAAAGCTACTTGGATCTGTAGCATGTTATGTAAGATGCACATGGAATATGCACAAGGTAGTTAATTTGCCATTATCATTTCCAGCAATACGTATTTTATCTGGAAGCTGACAACATCTAACTTTGTTTAATTTTTAGCAGACCACAAAATATTTGGTAGGTTCTGAATTACGATGATCGGTTTTACATAAAAAAAAACAATATTTAATAATAAATAATAAATAAATAAATATATCAGGACATTAACACATAGCGCCATCTAGTTCCATGGTAAGCTACGAAGCTTGTGTTATGGATACCAGATAGTTGATACATTATACATATATAACTTTAAATACATACATGTTATAAATATAAACACCCATGACTGGAGTACAAACATTCGTGCTCATCACACAAACGAATGCTCCCAGCGGGACTCGAACCCGCGACCGCTGGTGCAGCAAGTAGGGTCACTACAAACTGAGCCAACCGTGTCGTATTTAATATGTAATTATGTAGAAAAACACGTCGTTGACACGCCATGGTTAGGTCTTTGTAAAAACAAATAAAAGAATGTCTTTGACAGGAAGAAAAAGTTAATGCTTATATTCAAAGTAATTCGCTAAAATACTTCAAAGCTTAAACAATCAAAACATTTTTTATGAACAATTATTACAAAATTCATTTGCTGATAAAAGCTTCTCTCTTGTCACAAATTTAAAAAAAAATAATTTTACATTTGAATTTCATTTGTTATTTTTGCGTAAAGTAATAAAAAACATAAAGGTAAATTCATTCTCATTTTCATTTCCATATAATTTGTACTTAGCTATCATTCAAATGAAATTATAAAGGGGAATTTTAATTATTATTGAGGGATATATTTTTTTTTTAATAATTTGGCTTAAATAAGGTGTTCAGTTCAATTATTTATTCTATGACTTATCGTGCCATTTGGGCACAGTTAACTTTGCCAGTGTCTTGTAGAATAGAGAAGATACGTTAGAGATTAAGTTTAAAAGAAAGAAATTCAGGCTGAAGACATATAATGAAATAAAGCCAAGTAGATTTGCCGTAATCATTATAATGCTATTACAAACTACAAAATAAATGTTCTGAATTAATTCTAAAGGACATCATTTAAAATATATACATATATGACATTAAGTGTGAAAGCAATTCGGTGTTTATCATTAATTTAAGCGTTATTTATTCACATATCATAGTGTGCAGGCGAATTATAGTCTAATAGCAATAAATCAGCGATAGAGTGCTTTGGAATGGTAAATCTACATATATAACTGCTTTTCTGTCATTTACCTTGTTACGGAAGTAAGTACTCATATTATTTAAAACTAGCGGCTCACTCTCGCTTCGCTCGGGTTCGCCTCTAGGAAAACACAAACAAACCTATCCCACGGGAACCATACATTTTTTCGGAATAAAAAGTAGCCTATGTATTATTCCAGATTATAATCTATCTCTGTACCAAATTTCATTCAGATCCGTTCAACCGCCCTGGCTTGAAAGAGTAACAAACATCCATACTCACAAACTTTCACATTTATAATAGGTATTAATACGGATATGGCTATTAACAAGAAAATTGAATAGAATTAAAAAAGGTTAGTTAATTAATATTAAGCAGAGTATACAAAAGAGCTTAAACAAAAAATTGCAACTTAATTAAAATAATTTCTTTTCTTTATTAAACTAGATATGCAAATACTTTCTCTTTTATCGTATGGCGACCAAAATAGACTACCTTAGTCTAAATATATGTATAAAACTTAGCTTGCTTTCCAATACAAACTTTTATCCCCTTTTCACCTCCATAAGGGATGATTTCCGGGATGAAAAGTATTCTATGTCCTTTCCTAGGTCTCAAACTATCTTCCTACCAAATTTCATCTAAATCGGTTCAGTAAATCCAGAGATTACCCCCTACAACGTCACAAACTCACAATCTCACAGTCTGACAATCTCAATGAACTTTACCTCTAAATCTATATATTTTTTTATAAAAATGTAATATTTCATATGAATTCAGCACAAAAGAAATATAAGTCCCATTACTTTTATTCGGGCTGAAAATAGTAACGGATCCAAGTAATAGATTGAATACTTACTGAAATATCTAGTTTAAGTAATATCGGAGAGGAATTTACAAGTATATTTGGATACAAGTAATAATCACTCAGATAATGTAGCTCATTTATTATAAGTAAAAATCGCTCTGAATTTTCAGTATATATAATAAGTGCCTCGGTGGTGTAGTGGCTAGCATGTACGGCTGCACACCCAGAGGTCCTGCGTTCGAGTCCCGGGTCGGGCAAAGTTTAGTTATTGAGTCTTTCTGTATAGTAAGGCTCAGTAACAGCCCGGAGTTGGGAAGTTGGCGGTGTTTCACTCCCGTGCCTCGGAGAGCTAGTAAAGCCGTCGGTCCTGCGCCTTAACTCTCACTGGTCGTGTCGAATGGTCGTCCCGCCAGAGTATGAGAGTGACAGGAATAGAGAGTGCACGTTGTGTCTGCGCGTACACTTGTGCACTATAATATCTCCTGCGCAGTTGGCTAGTCTCAATGAGGTTAACATCATCATATATAATAGTTCAATAATATCGAGCTTTATCGATTATAATTAATCTTTTATCTCTACACTAACACTTTACGTCGCTCCAACATTAAAGAAGAGTATTTCTGTTGTTCATATTAAATATACAGAATAAATCCAGCGCCCTGATTTGACATTCCACCTTTCATAGCTTAGGCGTTCTGTCTTTGGAATTTCAAAGGACAAAGTTAAAGTTTGGAAATAACAGGCTTAGATTTCCTATTGTTTTTAAGTAGTTGTTTTTAAGTTTTATAGTAAGTAGAAACTAATAATATTTTAAGTTGTTTTATAATATATAATATAATTCTATAAGATATATATATATATATATATGTACCGACGTAGTTTATAAAAGTAAATACTTGGTCTCTTGGGCTGATAAAAGACGATATTAAGTTCCATAATGAGATTTCGGAGTAGAAAAAAAAAACTTCGAATCACTCTTCTAATATTAAAGCCTCTTTCTTTTGTACAATAAAAGAGATTAGCAATATTTCAGTGGAATTTCTTCATTTTTAAAATATCTGAGTCTTAATAAGATTACTTTCAATGAACGGTGACTAATATTAAAATATGATTACTAAGAATATTGTTTTTTAGAAATCATTAATTACCTCATGGTATTTTGTCTTGTATCATTTGCTAATAACTATAATATTTAGGTTTTTAAAATGTTAAGTCATTTATATCATAGACACATAGTTAGAAATAGTCTTCTAGACCTCATCATATTGTATTGTATTATTATATTGTATCATTATATTGTAACCAACACACACCTGTACAGGTCGGAGGAAGTGGAATTACTATAAATGAATTTTAGTTTGATTTATTCGGTTACATTTTTCTATGAAAATATAAATCCTTGTTTTTCATAATACTTTCTTAGATTTACGAGAATACTTGAAATTTTAAATAAAACTATCTTTTCGGATTTTTTTGCGAATTTATTTTGATTTTTGGTTCCCGACGTTTCGAATGCTTTACAGCAATCATGGTCACGGGAGAGACTGAGGTGTTAGATGTCTCTAAGGTATTATATAGTTGTTACAGACAGCCTACCCACAATTAACAAAAAGAATTCTAAAATTGAAAAATGGCGCTAAAGTACCTTACAATATTTTAACTTTTAACTTTAAACATTTTTATAAAATGTTAAAGATATATACAAAAATCCGAAAAGATAGTTTTATTTAAAAAACCTTGTTTTTATTTTATGTCATTATATTATGTTACGCCGGATTGAGAGCGGAGGCGATGCCTCGAGCGGAATCGAGACACTATCTTAACATTCGTCAATGATATGTTGCTTGATAATATTGGTTGATCGCAGTGGATCATCGAAGCGTTGTTTTTTGATATTGTATGTTGAAGTGAGATCGGTGTCGTTGTTTAATTCAACAACTATAATTTAATTTTAAACTATCCTTTCAAGTTTATAGCATTGTGAATTTCTTTATTAAATTGTATTGTGCATTGAATACTTTATTTAATTAAAAAAAACATTAAAACTTAATAACGTCCATGATATTCGTAACTACTAATGATGATGTCGAGCAGAATGGTGAACCAATGATTTCTCCCTTATTTGATTTCGATTTCGTAATCGTAAGGTTCGATTCGTATTCGTAAGGTTTTTCTTTTATAATGGCTTATAGTTGCGTTAACAGACGCAATCTATTCTGCCAGTGTCACGTTTTGTGAGGAAGACATTCGTAAGGTTATTCCTATACAATTTGTTTTTTCTGTAATGAAATCCAAATCTCATTTTGAGCAAAGAAATAAATTATTTACAATAAAAACTATTTTTGTGAATTTTAGCCTTTGAGAAGGACAGCATAAATTGTATAGAATTTTCAGGCAACATATAAAATGGCAAAACAAAGGTATGTGTTAACATCTTAGACCTTTTATTTCGACATTTGCCTTTTTTACCCTTTTTGATTGGGTTAGAATGTGATTTAATATAGCTCCTTTCTTTTCGAACATTAATAGATTATTTCAGCAAAAATCACCTCTTATTTTATTACGAAAAGAGTTAAAAATGTAAATCAAACTAAAAATCAATATACACCCCTGAAATATTATGATACAATAGAATTTTGTTTTCATAATTTTTCCACTTAAAAGGGATGTTTATTTTATTTTTTTTTCAAAAAATGTATTAGAGTTAAATATTCCCTATCTATAATATAATAAAACAGTAGAGGTCGAATGTCTGTACATAGCAAAAAATGCTAAAAACCGAGTTAGGGGGATGTAAGAAGACAAATAGAACAAATCCAGATTTTTTTCAAATTTTTTGTTTCTCTGTCTATTTGTCTGTTTGTACGGGCTAATCTCCGAATCTATTACAACGATTTAAATAAAATTTTGCACGGTGGTACCTTATATCCCCGGGCAACATTTTAGATACTTTTTATCCCGGAAAATTAAATAGTTCCTGAGGGATAGTCAAAAACTATAATAACTTATACAACTTATGCACCTAATTTAGTAAAATTTAACATTCTGATACCTTACATTTCCGGTCAAACAACAGGTTACTTTTCATCCGGGAAAAATGAACGGTTCCCGTGGGAACTAATAGATCTCTATTTGTGGCGAACCCGAGCGAAGCGAGGGTGAGCCGCTAGTTTTTGGAATAAGTAACAAATAAATCTGAAGGTAACAATTTTCAAAACCATATTTACGATTCATACTCACGTCAAAAGAACATAAAGATTTTTATCTTTATATTTTTCTGACTATACAAACTGGGCTAAAGTATGATTCGGCTCATTAAAATAGCTCAGTCAATACTAAGACAGACATCTAAATATTTAGTACGTCGTCGACCGAACTTCACTTGGAGTTTTTGGTCAAAAGTACAATTGTCTTTTTTTTAAAAAACTAAAAACTTGAATAAATAAAAAATAAAACAAATGTAAAATTTTTGTATCCGATCGGGATTCGAACCCGGACATCTGTGATTGTCAATCTTGCGCCTTGACCGCTTGACCACGATGCTTATGCCTATGCGAAATTATTATTTAATATTTTGCGTGGAATAATGCGAAAGAAAACCGGATTTCCCAGACATAAGACTAATCTAGATCGATTTTTCACTCCAGAAAGCTCCCACATACCAAATTTCAGGGAAATTGTTAGAGCCGTTTCCGAGATCGCCGGTATAAATAAATAAATATACAAGAACTGCTCGTTTAAATTAAATATTTAATTACCAAACAGTGCAGTAACACATTGAAACTTCTATTACATTATCGATATCGATAAATATCCGATTTATTATTTATTTTAAAAATATTGAAAAAATAAAAAAATTAGAAATATTGTTCATTATTATTCAAATTTAATAATTGCAAAGTTATCTAAAATAATATAAAAATTGCATTTTTTTTTTGTTCGAGCACACAATTGTCCGAAACTACCAACCCGATTCGAAACATTATATTCGTCATTTTAAATTTAAAGGAATTTCTGATTCAATCACTACTTGCATTTTTTAATCGTGATCTTCTATGAAATTCAATATTATGTACATTGTACAATTTCATAATCGCGAGGTTATCATCTAAGAAATAAACTGCTTTTTAACAAAATAGTTACACCGAATTCAAAATCAAGTTAATAATTCTATCCATACAAGTGATTATTTTTTTAAATATTATAATCAAATATTCCTTGAGGTATGTTCATTAAATAAAAAAATATGAAAATCGATCATATTTCGTAATATAACCACAAAAAGTATAGACAAATTGTACCTGCTGTTATTAAGTACCAACAGAAATGATAATTTTTATGCTTTATTACTTAGTTTCAACAAAAGGTTTCAGTAATAAGTGCTATTACCATCGCAACTGAATTGTAATCATACCGACATACACAATAAAATAATTACAAAACACATTTTACAAAAAAGTATAATCATAAGCAAAAAGGATCGCAGCTCTTTAGGCCTGTCAAAATTATATAAAAGACTGAACTTTATTGAGGTTAAAAAATTAGTTATAAGACCTTTTTACATATCTCGGCATACTCCATACGGCATATTAAATTAATAATCGCAGTAGACATGAGATATATGTATTACATTAACTCTTTGTTACATTTATAAAAGTAGGTACTTCAACCGACTTGATTCTAAAAATTTTACGCGACAGTAAATTTTCCAAGAGCTAACTTCATAGAGAAAACCGTTATAACTTCATTAACTACAAATTTTTTGTTAAAAAAAGTTAATATTTTTCTATTTTCTGGATCTACTTGTCCGATTCAAAAGATTCTTTATCTTGTATAGCCTATTAATTGAAAAAGGTAGGTTTGAGAAGTTCAATTCACCCCTTCATGGTGGTAACCACCGCCAGCTCCAAAACTCCGGACTATTACTGAAAATTTTTTGACAGAAAAACTCAATAATTAAACTTGGCCTGACCCAGGACTCGAACCCGAAACTTTCCTTCGGATCTACAGGCGATCATGCTAGCCACCTGACCACCGATAATTATTTAGGTAATTTTATTACAAAAATACCCCAACAAAGAAAAGAAGGCATTTCCTATAATAATACAGAGAGGCGCCCGTGAGAAAAAATGTTCACGTTATTTTAAATATATGTATTTTTATCCAGCCTAATAAAAACTTTTCATAATACGTATGAGAAAATATATGTTTATACGTTAATAATATTATAATTAACATTGTAAAATGTAAAATTACAATCTATTTTTTCAGGGTAAGTGTAAATAAAAACAAGAATAGTATCAAAATTGCCATAAGCAATTTCGTTTGGGTATTTGTTTATTTTTAATAATAGCACTAAACTTGATAAATTTCGTCAGCTAAAAAAACTGAATTAAAAAACACAGTAGTTTACTCGCACTGTGTTTGTGTTACTACCTACTCCAGCACTTATACACAATCAGGTATTAGCAAAACGTGATATACAAATGGTATAAAAACAGACATTCTAACCGCCACATGACCTTGTGGGGCCCAGGGACTTAAAACTCGCAAAAGTCTAGTCAAAAAGTTCAATATCTGCTAAAAATAGTTAGACGCGGAATAAAATTCTGAGAAAGGTGTTTTATTTTTCATTTTCAAAGAGGAGGAAATTTCTTTAAAAATAGTTTTGACTTCTGAAACAGCCCTATAATTATAATAAATTAATAATTTTAATCTGCCGTTTAAAACGGGGTCTAGCACGGCCGTTTAAGCTCGAACGCGTCGCCTCTAAAGAGAGTATAACCGAAGTAAAAAAAATGAGTATAAAATAATAATTAAAAATTATTATATATAATTGAATATTAAATTTTAAATTGCAGATTGAGAAAAAAATCTTACCTTTCGTTTTGATCTTATTGAATCAGCTTGTCTTTGTGTTAGTTCACCAATAGACCGAGATCCCCACAGAACTCTCCCCATAGCCGAGTAGAAGAACGTCATCCCCAACATTGGTACAGCATATGTGACTATGAAGAACAGACTTTGATACCTGTATAGTGAAATATTAAGTTATTATATAATGCATACATTTGACGACACGTTTGGCTCAGTTTGTAGTGACTCTACTTGCTGTGCCAGCGGTCACGGGTTGAGTCCCGCTGGGGGCATTCATTTGTGTGATGAGCACGAAGTTTGTACCCCAGCCATGGGTGTTTATATTTATTAATACGTATACTATATATTATGTGTAGTGTATCAACTATCTGGTATCCATAACACAAGCTTCGTTGCTTACTAAGGAACTAGATAGTGCTGTGTGTTGATAATGTCACAACAACTCAACCTAACAATATGATGCTCATAAGAGTGTATTTCATATGTATTTTGCGAAATTAATCATATCAAAAGTAAGAATAAAAGATAGAGTTTTGACATTGTCAATAGAGTACTATCTACGAAATAAATTAGTTTGTAACGAAAAACACACACCGGCTTCAGCATCACTTAAAAGTAATTGCTCTTTAACTAAGAAAGAATAAATCTTACTTAGACTAAATCTCTAGAGATGTTTTTTTTTTTTCAAAATTAGTCCACATTAGCGAAGATATCGCGCAATATACCCACAAAAATACAGATAATTAAAAAATACGTTCATCTAAAATAATAATTTATTCATATTTTTATTTTTTAAATGCCTTTTTACTTAGATTAAATAAGACGTCTATGGTCACGAGAGAGGCTAAGGTTTTAAACATCTTAAAGGTCATTATATATTATCTTTTGCTTATTATGGATCATTCCCTCATTTTCTAACCTTCATGAGATGTGCAACTATTACACGATCTATTCTAATCTACAAAAATTTAATCATCTTGCAGAATCTATTTACGAAATTACTATTAGGTACTGATTACACAACAACACCTTCAAATAAAAGTTTCAAGCCTAGGTTTCAATCAACTTTTATGTGGATTATATTGCAGTATGAAGATAATACGATAAACAGATAAATCTTACAAAGATTAGATATTAAATAAGATATACACAAAATACTAAATTATTTATTTTTTTATAAATACATTAAAATATAAAAATAAAGACAAAATATTTTATGTACAATGTTTTCGTTAGGAGTTTGTCGAAGGAAAATTAAGCTTCTTGATATACAAGTATAACGCGGATACAACTTACAAAATGCCAAAATTTCTTGATGCAAACCTAATTTGCATTGTTAAAATAAGCTGTGGAATAAGGAGTATAATATTATAGAATATATGCGAAAGGCAGTTGTAGCCCAGTGGGAAAGCGCTCGTTTGGGAAACCGAGTGAAGCGGGTTCAAATCCCGGGCCTCGCACATCTGATATTCTCATGTACGAATCATTACCAATAATAGTACCACTTGTCTTACGATGAAGGAAAACATCGTGAAGAAAACTACGTGTCTGAGAGAAAATATGAAGAAAAGTTTTCGAAAGACTTCTGAAATCTGCCAACCCGCACCTGGTCAGCGTAGTGGACTATGGCCTGAACTCTCGTGTATTGGGAGGCCCATACCTAGCAATAGGACGTTAAGAATTGCTGAATACATGGAGTATCTGTATGTATGTACTTAGGTAGTATAGTACTTTGGAGTTCGAGTTTACTATTCAACGCTTCGTCAAAACAATTATTTAATAACTAAAAAGATACTTCAAATTAATTTAAATGTAATTACTAATTATCTGTAGGAAGAATTATTATATTAAATAAGGTGTAATTTGTTACACATTAATTAAAAAAAAAGAATCATCAAAATCGGTTGATTTATAATTGGCGAATTTTCTCTATAGCTTCATTATTTATAAGTTAAGTATATTAATTTCATTTAAAGTATCAGAATTTACAGCGGTATACGCTATATAAAATAGTATATTTTGAAATAAGAAAAAAATATTTGACTATCTCAAAGTCTATAAACAGCCTAAGTAACTGAAACTAGAAGCATAAAATTTTGCTCAAAAATTCGTCATATTGTAGAGATGAACACGGAAAGGTCAGCTTTACATACTTGTATAATAAAATTCTGAGTCGAATCTGTACATTAAATATTTTTTGGCAAATCTTACTCAAATAGTAATTATTATCGACGCAGAGGCCGAATCTATAGTTTTTAGATTTTTGTTTGTTTGTCTGTCTGTATGTGACCGCATCATGAAAAAAACCACTAAAGGGATTTTGATGAAATTTGGTATGATGATATTACTATCCGGGTCAACATATAGATATGTACTTTTTACTGCATGAAAATATGTCATCTGTGAGAAAACTATACTAAACGTTAAAACATAAGTAGGGACGACCCCGAGTGAAGCGAGGGTGAGTCCCTAATTAGGATATAAGTAAGTATATAAAACGACATTTTCGGTTTTTTTCTCGGATTTATTTCTTTACTAATCAAATCAAGATTTATATTTCCGCAATTACAACAACCTTCAAAGAAGACATCACTAAATCCATCATTATGATGCTGTCAATTTTCTAAATAATTGCTCCTATTGGAAAAAGCTTAAGAAATAACAACAGAAACTCGAGACCGTTTACTTTGTTTACCTTTATTGTATCAAGTTATGTAATATATATTATTACAATTTGTATTTAACATTGATATAGCCTGGATGTGACACACCATTATATTGTTATGGGTTATGAAATCATTTGTGTAGGGGATATAAAACAAATACCTGTTATTTTTTAAGTTATACTTCTTTTGGAACGTTGGAAAAAAATTATGAGAGTAAAATTTTACACAACAGACATCTAAAAAGCGACATGATAAAGTTAGCTGCATTCCTTTTACAAACAGAGAGTTGTGACATACGGAATGAAATCCTTAGCTATTTTTGTTCTGTTACGCCAAAGAAGTATTACTTGTTACGTGCGTACATAAGTACACACGTACATTTTTTCGTGTTTAGATATAATAATAGAGCTTTTATTTACATGAAAAAAGTATTTAAGTAAAACAAAAAAATATATGTGACAATAAACCGTTAAACTATCGAAGCCTTATATTGTACCTTGATCTTACTTGAGCTACTTTTAAAATGAAATTTTTTCCCCATTATGTTTTCTTTGTTCTATATGGCATTGGCAAGCAAACACCAAAAGGTGAGGTTCTATCGAAAACGATAGAACCGAAAATCGAATAGACTTGATAGTATAATTTTAATATGCTGTTGTTGCGACTTCCCTCGCATAGTAGTTATGTTAAGACAAAGTAACCAATGTGTTAATTCATGATCCCCCTGATGATGTGTGTTCACCTTGTCGTGGCGGGGGAGGGGGCCTCAGTGGACGATGTGCCATGCGGGTTGCTCCAAGTACTTTTCTGATAGCTGAATAGGTATTGTATTGGAGCAACCCCATGGTTGTGGCTAGACCACTTTCCTGCAACCAACATGCTTACCAAAAGGGTAAATCCACAGAATCTGCCTTAGTAGCTCTGATCGACAAGGCAGAAAGGTCCCTAGAGGATAAGCAGACAGCTCTATGTGCATTTTTGGACATTGAGGGGGCCTTTGATAACACACCTACGGCAACCATCCTGAAAGGATTAAATGCAAAAGGTGTTGATATCACAACCACCAGATGGGTGGAATATATGCTCTCCAACCGATGTGCGAAAGTTACGTTAAACGAACACTCGCACAACTTCTACACTACAAGAGGCTGTCCGCAAGGAGGAGTGCTTTCACCCCTATTATGGACACTAGCTGTAGACCTACTACTTGTAATCATGGCAGATCTCGACTACGATACACAGGGCTATGCAGATGACCTTGTTGTAGTAGTAAGAGGTCCCTGCCTGAACACAATTTCCACCAGGTTACAAGGAGCTCTCAATACCATCACAAGATGGTGCAGAGAAAATGAGTTATCAATAAACGCTGATAAAACAGTTATTGTACCATTTACCAGGAAAAGGAAGCTTGAAAGGCTGACCGAACTCAGACTCAATGGCAAAACCCTTAACCTATCAAATGAGGTAAAGTACCTTGGAGTCACTATTGATCACAAGTTGACCTGGAACTCTCACCTCAACAACATTATACAAAAAGCCAAAATGGCCCTCTGGATATGTTGTCGAATGGCTGGAGCCAAGTGGGGCCTCAAACCCAAAATGGCTCTCTGGATGTACACCGCCGTGGTAAGGCCGATCATAACATACGCCTCAGTCGTATGGTGTAACAAAACCAAACAAAAGACAACTATGAGTAAACTAGACAGCATACAACGGATGGCATGTCTAATCATCACAGGAGCCTTCCACTCGGCACCAGGCGACGCTCTAAATGCATTGTTGGACATAGCTCCGCTATATCTCCACGTGCAAAAAGAAGCTAAATCTTGCCTCTACAGGCTCTGTACACAATCGAATGTAAAGTTGCAATCGCAATATATGAACAAACTCAAGGAGTTGACATTCGAACACAAAACTCTGAAAATGCCAGTCGATGGCATGAGTACAGAGTTTAACTTCGCAAAACAGTACCAAATAGATCTTCCCAACCGGGACATGTGGCTAAAAAACCAAGAGTCTCACAAAAAGGGCAGTCATGTTTGGTTTACAGATGGATCCAAGAAAGGATCTGATGTAGGGTGCGGCATCTATGGCCCTAAGCCTAGATTTGACATGAGTGTAAATCTGGGCAAGGAGGCCACCATCTTCCAAGCCGAGGTCTTCGCCATCAACAAATGTGCTGAAGTCATCCTGGAAAGGAAGCTTAGAAACCAAAATATCTACATCAACTCAGATAGCCAAGCAGCACTTCTGGCTATAGATTCTCTTGAGACCAACTCTAAGTTGGTCAAAGACTGTATGGATAATCTGAATGTCCTGGGCACATCCAACAGAGTTACCCTCAGATGGGTCCCGGGTCACTCAGGCATAGATGGGAATGAAAAGGCTGATGCATTGGCAAGAAGGGGCGCTGAAACCCCAGATTGTGGCCCAGAACCATTCTGTGGCATTGCAAAACAACATGCCTATTCAATTCTCAAAATTCACTGCAATCGCCAAGCACTTCAAGAGTGGCAATCCACTTCTGGACAAATACACTCTAAAGCGCTAATTAAGGGATATCGCAAAAAGTTTACAAAAGAGTTGCTTCAACTCAACAAGTATAAAACCAGTGCAGTAACCAGAATACTTACTGGTCACTGCAAACTCAATAAACATATGTTTACCCTCGGCCTCAGTCAGACCGCAATGTGCAGACTATGCCATGAGACAGAGGAAACTGCTATGCATATCCTCTGCTTGTGCGGTCCACTCATGCACCGCAGAAGTATCTATCTAGGGCAGCATATTATGCAACCGGAAGAGATACAGATGCTCCCCGCTCAGAAAATCTGGAAGTTCCTGGAGTCAACAGGACTAAGCGGAGAACTTTGAACTCATTATAAAGGGAGCTACAATGGACCAAAACTGGTCGACGTAGCTAGGGCCGACCTCGGCACCACACCCAACATTAATAATAATAACCCCATGGTTATTAAGACGGGGGAAGTTCTGTTGAGTTTTAGTGGGTACTGCGGACTTTTCCAACTAGTGAGTCCCACATAACCACCTGTATGTACTTATGCAAGGTGAATGCATAAATTTAAATACATTTCCCAACGTTAAAAAATGAGTTAATTCATGATATACAAAGGTCTAATTTTTACGAATGTCACTCAAACTCATTGAGCTATTACAGCATAAATAAGTAATTAACACGCACGAATATGGCATATTAAATATGACAGATTTTTACGGGTATGATGATAGCTGGTTATCCAGGTCAGCATATAGGATACTTTTTACTGCGGCAAAATATCTCCTCTTTGAAAGATCTATACTAATTACTAACCCTTAAAAAGTTTAAAATGTTCCCTAGGCTAAAAAGTTCATTTATTCACTTGGAAGTGCTGATCTCTGTAAGTTATCTGAGGTCCGATTTAAATCTCTAACAATATAAAAATCTTTTTGTATTTTACATGCTATTGTGGAGGAAGGTTTCTTTATAATATCATGCCATTAGGAGTGGGAATTAAACGTAACTAAGCTAAGTACGTGGAGCCACGAGAAAAGCTATAACTAAAATATACGTATACGGTATATGTATATATCTGAAAGTAGAATATACTTTGGTACTTACATAAAATCCATATATGAGACGTCAGGTAGACCATCAGGCCACAGCAGTAAACATGCAGTTTTAAGAGTTCCTTTTGATCTGCGAAAGAACAGAAAAATATTTATTTAACATTTATTTTTAACATTTTGTTTGATTTACAGACATTAATGAACAATTTAACGCATTGTTAGTATTTTACTATTATGAATGAATAATTGGAATTTAGGGCAGTGGTAGCCCAGTAACGCGCTCGCTTGGGAAACCGAGTGAAGCGGGGTCAAATCCCGGGTCTTGCATTTCTGATATTTTCACGTGCGAATCATTTCTAACATGATTACCACTTGCCTTACGGTGAACTATTGGAACAAATTTCAGCTAGTTTTACTAAAACCGACATAAGAAGTTATTAAATTTTATTAAAACTAAGAAAATATAATAAAAGCTTACATTCAAACATCAAATAGTTTTGATATAATAATAGAACAAATATATTATTACAATTTCAAGTATAAAATGTAACCTTCGTCTTCATCGAAACGCCAACGCAAAAACCATTCGCGAGTTTAAATATTATGAAAGGAACCAAGAAGGTATTATATTCATTCAGATTTATATTTGCAAATTAAGTTTAATATCCAAATATAAAAACACGTTAAATTTCAAGTAAAATTAATATGAATAGCTAAGCTTAAAAAGTTGCTGGTTTCATAGAACAAGGTAAACAACATGGTGTGGTGAAGCAATTACAACGTTAATTAAGATATAACGCCTACAATTGTATGAGATCATTAAGTCTGATTCGGTTTCCTGACTTCTATTTATGTAATTATTTCTCTCGATTCCTTAATTAGAGGCTAAATTTACACTGATACAGCAAAATTGCAATATTAGGTTACAAATAACCTAAGTTTTATAATAGTTAATCATGGTTAAAGCTGAAAAAAAATGTATTTAAGTTTTATAAATATGTTTGTATGTTTATCTATACATATAATAAAATTGTAACTGAGTCGAATCTGTACAAATTTTTTTTTTGGAAAGCTTATTGAAATAATCATAATTATCCACACACAAACCTACTTTCGTATCTATAACAATAGTGTAATTCACTTCGAAACGTTCATTTAGTATCTACTAAGTAGTAAGAAATTTTGAAAGAATAAGGGAAACTAAAATTATAATTAAGACATTTTGGGATTCCCTCACTTTATTTTTATACTAGCGGCTCACCGTCGCTTCGCTCGGGTTCGCCTCTGGACAAACAAAAACAAATCTATCCCACGGGAACCGTATATTTTTCCGGGATAAAAAGTAGCCTATTTGTTATTCTGATGTATGAACTTGTATTGTAAAGTTTCATTAAAATCCAATCAGTAGTTTGTGTACTACGCTGTATAAGTTACTATAGTTTTTTAACTATCCCACGGGCACTCTTTAATTTTCCGGGATGAAAAGTATCTAAAATGTTGACCGGGAATATAAGGTACTATTATACAAAATTTCATTTAAATCGGTCATTTAAATCGTACAAACAGACAGAGAAACAAAAAAATTGAAAAATTCTGGATTTGTTCTATTTCTCTTCTGACATCCCCCTAACTCTGTTTTTGGCAAAATCTATGTACAGACTTTCGACATCTACATTTAATTATAAGTATAGATTTTAAGTTTTTTCATCATTTTTGTTTGTTCTTTCTTTTCATAATAAGGTTTCATAGTATAGGGTTTATACTAGTCCCTTATCTAACCCAAAATCAAATCCCTTTATTATACTTAACACAAAACGCGTAGATTACTAGAAATTCTCAGAAATTATTTATGTTACAACCATTTTACCTATCTTATGTAAAATAGGTCAGGTTTAGCAATAAATAATAAAGAGCAAAATAGTAAGCGATTTAAAATGGCTTTTGAAGGTTCATTTAGATTTTCAATGTCTAAGACGCGATAATACAAACAAGCGTCAACCATCAATGCGTGATCACACAACAACAAAAAATCTACAATAACATTGCAAGTCTGACTCGCACGCCGAGGGTTTCGTAGCATGGAAATAAATATATTTTTGGGATGTAAATACAAATTTACGGTTTTCGGATTTTACTTTATTTTTGCTATAAGATATTGCTTCTGCCAAATTTCTTGATTCAAGGTCAACATGAAGTATCCTATAGGTTCGGATTTTTAATTGTGTTGTAACTTATGAGTTGATTCTTTCACAGCTCCAAGGGATTGCTAACCTGAATGTTTGATATTATTTTCAACTTTATATCCCCACGTATTCCTGAGAAAAAGTATCGTTTTTCCTTTTGAGGCGCGGAACCCTAAAAATGAAAAGTTGGCCAATCGTAATTACAGATTATTAGAATATTAGTTACTTTTTTACAAATAAAATTTAAAAAAAATTGGAAATAAAATGTTTATAATACACATAATACAAATATGTGTATATACGTGGTATGGAACTCTCGCTGCACAAGCAAGATTAGACGTTAATCGATTTTTTAAAATTCATTTTTGAAAGTTAATAAAAAGAAGGTGAAATATATTAGTCGTTTTTATATAAGAACATTTTAATACTTTTTTCTAAAAACATTGAGAAAAAGAATGACACAAAGAAGACAAGGAAGAAGATGGAGGGCGTTTTCTGCAATGCTTAAACTTAACCTTACGAGCCTGTCGTCATGAAAGATAAATTCATGCTCAGAAGAAGTGCAGCAAACTATTGTGTACCGGCAGACTGATGTTTGAATGTAAGCTTTCATTATAAATATTTTCTTAGTTTCATATTTAATAACTTCTTATGTCGGTTTTAGTAAAACTAGCTGAATTTTGTTCCAATCTAGTTTGAAGTAGTCTATATGAAAAAGTACTATTTTTGTCTATCCCGGTGAAGTTCCTGCTATTTATTATGTTAGTTACATTTAACAAATATCATGTGCGATTTATATAATACTAGAGGCTGACCCTCGCTTCGCTCGGGTTCACCTCTAGAAAAGCACAAACAGACCTATCTCACGGGAACCGTTCATTTTTCCGGGATGAAAAGTAACCTGTTGTTTGACCGGCAATATGCCAAATACTAAATTAGGTGCATAAGTTGTTGTGTACTAAGCTGTATAAGTTACTATAGTTTTTTAACTATCCCACGGGAACTCTTTAATTTTTCCGGGATGAAATGTATCTAATATGTTGCCCGGGGATATTAGGTACCACCATGCAAAATTTCATTTAAATCGGTCCAATAGATTCGGAGATTAGCCCGTACAAACAGAAAAACAGACAAACAGCTCGCTCGGGTTCGTCCATACATACGAATATGTTGTATTATCTCTTTAACTATTTGTCCAAATTATATGCAGTGAAAGGGAAAAGTCTTTTGTTTTAAACATTTTAGACGATAAATTTACTTATTTTGATAAGAATTCATAATTGTTGATAATATGACCAAAAAACATGACCGATGGATGGATTTAAATTATTTTTTTAATATAAAAAACTACTTTTTGTGACTTAAATATAAAAGTTAGACATATGCTGTCGCTGACTTTTTTGTAGGCATTATTAAGCTCTATAACTTTTCTCGAGAACATAATCATATATCTCTCATCTTTAAGGCAGCGTTCGTAAAAAACGTTTTCGTTCGACCGTTTTTTCTCCGACTTAGTTTGCAAATCCGACTACCACGAAAAAGCCTTTTCATTCTTCGGGTTAATATGTAGCCTATGAGATTCAGAAATAACGTGGCTTTCTATTGGTAAAAAAATTTTGAAAATCGGTTCAGTAGATCCAGAGATTACCCCCTACAACGTCACAAACTCACAAACTCACAAGACGATAAACTTTACCTCTTTATAATATTAGTATAGATTATAAGATCAGTTTAATATAACTGAAATTTTTTAAGACGTCTAAATGAAAGAAATCGTGCCTTCTTCTATACATATAGCAAAATTCTGACTGAATCGAGTCTGAACATTAAATATTTTTTGGAAAATCTTATTTCAATAAGATTTTCCATTAGTCATTATTATTGATGCAGAGGCCGAATCTATAGTTTTTAGAATTTTTGTCTGTCTGTAAATGCATGACCAGAAAAGCACTCTATGAAATTTTGCTATGATGTTAGCTGGATAACCGGGACAACATTAGGATACTTTTTATAACCCTATAAGATAACAACTCTTTTAGAAAAAATATAAACCAACTTCAAAGCAGAGATGATGATTTTTGAGTTGCTGCCCGCCTGCTTTTGTTATATACCAACAGCTGCTTTAATTAGTTGAAGTAAATATAATCCTCTAGTTTACGTTTCAATACTATACCAATATTGCTTTAGTATAACAAAATTTATTTTCGTACTAGACGGAGCGGGTATAATTATTGTTTTATTAATATAAGTAATTTAAAAAACACTACTTGGAATAATAGCATAGAATATTGAAAAAGTATAGGTATAATATGTATATAATATAATATTTTTTGTGTGTCTTTTTGTATTCAGTCCTTTTTATAACTGCTGTGCACGGGCCTCCCTTCAATACGAGAGGGATCAGGCTATAGTCCACAACGCTGGCCAAGTGCGGCTTGGTGGACTTCACATGTCTTTCGAAAACTTGCTAGGCTCTTTAAGACATGTAAATTTCCTTACGATGTTTTCCTTCACCGTAAAGCAAGCGGTAATCATGTTAGAAATGATTCGCACACGAAAATATCAGAGATGCGACCCGAGATTTGAACCCGCTTCACTCGGTCTCCCAAGCGAGCACGATATCACTGGGCTACCACTGCCTAATGTGTGTGTCTTCTTAACGTTTTGGATCCTGTATTTTTTGAAGTGAGTTAAAAAGCTATTAACTTTCTATATAATATAATTTACTAATAATGCATGTGATAATATTTGCTTGTTATGTAATGTAAATTGTTTGTGTTACAATGTGTGCGTGAGCAGGCGGAACATTTTGATTTTACTTAAACATGGGTAAATATAATATTATAATTTAATATATATATATATATATATATATACATGATATATTATGTACTTGCACGTATGTATTATAATAACAAATCACAAATGCCAAAAGAATCGTTTAATAAAAAATTCAATCAATTCAAACAGAAATGAAATCTTATAAAGAATTTCTTTTTAAAGTTAGACGTAGTTGGAATCTGATTTATTTCGCTTCAATTTTACAAGCAAACTTTAGCGTACAAATACTTATAAGAAAACTGTGGTGAAATGCAAATATTTTTTTATTTACTTACCCTTTGTTCAAAAGATATTTAAAAAATGCACTGAGTTGATTAAATATTACAATTAGTTTTTTTTACTAGCGACTCATCTATCACTGGGTGCCTAAAAGTAGCCTATGTGTTACTCCAGGCCGTATTCTATTTGTATAATAAATGATGATCTTAATTTATCCAGCCATTTCAACTAAGAAGTAACAAACATACATACACAAGCATATATAACCTTTCGCACGTAGGCATAATACTCGTACCAGTCCATTGCAATTTTATTTATTCCTTGTACATTGTCGTATAACCTTAACGTTTAAGATACGAGTACGTATGCAAGATTTTAACTCTAAAGTAATACAAAAAATAATATTATATTATGGAATTTATTCATGTCATTAAATATAGAGTTTTATTATACTAGTATACAGTTATTATGATAAAATATTTTTTAACTTTAACAGTATCTCCCACCCTTACGTACGATTTTTTCTTATTTATGGAGGGCTTATGTAGGTTTAACAGGATTTACCTATTCATTGAAAAAGAAACAAGAAACCCGTGAGTAAATAATATCCATCCGCATTGAGATAAACTTTTTAAGATATTAAGTCCAGGAGTTCGTAAACTTGGTAGATGTATTTAATTTGCCCATAATTGTGAAGTTAGAAACTACGTGCAGCAAAATTTGCTAAATATTAAAACGTTGAGATTGTGATTTAATCTTTATCCTTCATGCCTAGTGGATTGTAATTTATTATTTCTTTTAATTTTTAAAGATTGAAGTGAACGTTTTTTATTTTAATATTATTAAAGCTTATATATATATATATATATATATATATATATATATATACTAGCGGCTCACCCTCGCTTCGCTCGGGTTTGTCGCTAGGTACGTTTTAAATAGATATAAATGGTTATTAGCCAGCGTTAGCCATATAATTTTTCAACCGACTTCAAAAAGGAGGAGGTTCTCAATTCGACTATATGTTTTTTTTTTTTATGTTTGTTACCTCAGAACTCCGTCATTTATTAACCGATTTGGACAATTTTTGTTTTGTTTGAAAGGGTATACTTCCAGATTGGTCCCATTTAAATTAAAAAAAAAAATACCACCCCTAAGGGTGGAAAAACAACTAATGATGATTTTAAACTACTTCTAATTGTCATATTGACTTGAAACTTCGCAAGTATTTCTATTTCCGTTGATAGTACAGTGGTTCGGTGTTGTTGACCTGATTGGATGGCAAGGCCAGAAGGTGGATAGGTGGAACTCTTCAACGGTTAATAGTAGATACTTTGAGTTTGGGCTTATTTTGTTTGATTTGACATGCCTAACACGTTAGAATCCTTACTATACTACTACTGTCTACACTAAAAAGGGAAAAATAAAAACTTTTTAACAAAAAAATAAAAACCGACTTCAAACAAAAGCACTAAAAAGTAAGAAATAACTGATTGGTAGTTTTCATTTACTATACATACCTAATCAAATATTTTCGAAGTCGCTGTGCTTTGGCTAAGTAATTAAAGCTTACCTATTAAATACATACCTAATCAAATATTTTCGAAATCGGTGCCAGCCCATACAAAGCAAAGCACACCGACTTCGAAAATATTTGATTAGGTATGTATAGTAAATGAAAACTACCAATCAGTTATTTCTTACTTTTTAGTGCTTTTGTTTGAAGTCGGTTTTTATTTTTTTGTTAAAAAGTTTTTATTATTTATTTTTTTGTTAATAATATTGACAAAATATATTGACATTAATATTTATACGATACTAACGTCACTCAATTGTTTTGCCTTCCCGGAACCTCTCCACTAACATTTAAACTTTATGGTATGGTATTATAATTCAAATTGATTTTTAAGTATTATTACGAATCTTTTGCATGGAGTATAGAAAAATGTTGTTTTTAGACTTTTTCAGGCATTTTTTTAAATTGTTCTCTTCGTAAGAACCATCCTCGTACTTCAAGGAATATTCTAAAAAAAGAATTAGCGAAATGGGTTCAGCTGCTCTCAAGATTTGCGCTTACCAACAGATTCAGCGATTCATTTATATATATATATATATATATATATATATATATATATATATATGTGTGTGTGTGTGTGTGTGTGTATATATTTATTAGGAATGTTAAGTTTATTAAGATGATCCCTTCCTTAATTCCTTTAGGATGAAGGAAAATATCGTGAGGAAACCTTCATGTATGAGAGAGCCTAGGAAGTTTTCGAAAGACATGTGAAGGCCTCCACTTGGCCAGCGTGATGAATTATGACCTGATCTCCTTAACGTACCGTACCCATTTACTGATTACTGATTTTAAAAATTTCTGAATGCGTACCAGTTAAGTAGTTATATGAAATATACATATTATATTTTCGCTTGCACGCTTTGTTAATACTATAGCGGGCGCAACGTTATCATTATAAATAAAGTATTTAATGTTTGAGCTGGCAATAAAATAAATATTTTAGATTCAACAAATTAAAATTTTTTTAAGAGTACGGAACCTTCAGTCAATAAGTCAGACTTGCACTTGCCCTATTAGGTATATTGACTGGAAAGAATTTTTATTAACCGATAAGACTTCCTTATTGTATAAGTTTCTAAATAGATTAGCTCTTGCTTTAATTTGGCCGTTTGGCTTAAGTTTAGATAATAGGCAAACTCAAACATAAGCGAGTTTAAGTAAAGTATATTAAGTTTTATAAGGGCTTGTTTCTCATAAATTTTGTTAATGTTGAATATTTTACTTCCTACCAACATCATAATAGCAATTATATAACAAAATTAGTTTCCATGTCGTTAAATTTTGTTTCTTTCTTTTATAATAACTTAGACTTAAGTTAAAAATGTGGTGTGAATAACCGAATAAAGTATGATTTTAATACTTACCGATATTCCTTAGTGGTAGAGTACAGTAAACAGGGTACAGCTAACAGCATCCCGCTAACCCATATACCGGCGATTATTATGAGAGAACACGATTTTGACATTCTAGGCCTCATCGGTCGCACTATCGCTTGGTACCTAAAATAAATTAGAACATACAGAATCATCTTTTGGAGCTTTACGTCGTCTTTATTTTATTTTGTAATAAATTGTTTGGTTAAGATAAATAAATAAATATGTTGGGACATTAACACTATCTACATAGTTCCATGGTAAGCAACAAGCAAGTTACAAGGCCTGTGTTATGGATACCAGATAGTTGATACACATATAACTTTAAATACATGTAACATATTATAAATATAAACACCCATGACTGAAGTACATACATTCGTGCTCATCACACAAATGGATGCCCCCAGCGGGACTCGAACCCGCGACCGCTGGCACAGCAAGTAGGGTCACTACAAACTGAGCCAAACGTGTCATCAAATACATATTAATAAATAACATTTTGATTATTATGGATTTAAAATTATTTGGTATAACATTAAGTCTTTCTAATCCTCATTAGAATTAAGAAATTAATTATTTTAATTATTCATTAAAAAAAGTTTATTTAAGTTTAATGTGTCTGAGACCAAAATTAAAATTCTTCTTAACTTTTCAAAGTCGGCTAAAAGATAGGATACAATAATATAGATGCAAAAATAAAATGAATCAGAAAACATGTAGAATCAAAAATCAAATTTACTACAAGAAAATCAACAAAACAATTTCACTTAAAGAGAATATATACATACATAATATGTATTATTTTCTGCTAATTGTAAAAGGTTAAGCTTTCAGATTATTTTGTTTTGAAATTAATTCGTAATTGAAATTTAAAAGGTAATTTCGTGAACTTCAATGTTTACTCGACAAATTTAACAACTTTGTTATGAATACACTTGTTTATAAATAGAAAGTATAAAATATTTACCTACATATATTTGATGCTATAAATTATCCAAACGTAATAATATTTATAATTTAAATGCTTATTATTATATAAGTAATATTCGTGGTCCAATGGAGCATCTATGGCCGCAGTTCCAAAGGGCTGGAGTCTCGAGAGACCAAGTATATGGTTACTGGGGGCTTTAGTGCGTCCTGTATATATACAGGTGGTATGCGTAAATGCATTTCCCAATATTAAAAAACGGCCTACGTGAGTGGGGTAACACCAGATGCCTTCAAGTACACGTAAAGCCGATCTTATTTATTTATTTATTATCAGTTGGGAAACAAACAGCTTTTATAATACAGAAATATGTAAATACAAACTATTCTTCTCATCAGCCAATAAAGTTTCCACTTATAAGTAAACATGGAGTGAAAAAAAAATACAAACTATACGTAAAATAACTAAACATAATCTTTGTGTATAGAGAGGGTTGCAAAATACATATTATATCAAGGATGATCGAGTTTATGCTTAATGCTTTGAGAAAATTTGTTGATATTACTATCAACTATGTCAATTTGGTTATAATATGTATGATGCGATCTACAAGCTCTAATTACAAAACAGTTCTTGGCATAATTTGTTCTATACATAGGGACAAAAAAAGTATCTTTAGAACGGGTGCAAAAAGTTGGGCATTTGAAATTAATATTGCTTAGAAGATAATCGGAATCAATTAAATTATGTATGATTTTATAAAGAAAAATTTGGTCTCTGTATTCTCTACGTTACTTCAATGATAAAATATTTAAATTTTTAATTTCAACTACATCAAATCTATACCTCAATCGCTTTATAAATTTATTTTGCACACTCTCTACTGCTTCAATATATTTGGTATATTGCGGGTTCCACACAGTCGAAGCATACTCTAAATGAGATCTAACATATGAATTATACAGCAGATTAAATGTATGTATACTTTTAAAATCACTAGCGCTTCTAAATATAAAGCCAAGCATTTTGTATGCTTTTGTAATTATATTATTTACATGTTTATCAAATATAAGTTCAGCATCCAACAACACGCCCAGATCTTTCACGTCAAACACTCTCTTCAGTTGTTTATTAAAAATTTTATAATCAAATATAATTGGCGCTTTCTTTCTGGAGAATGTTATAACACAACACTTGTCGATATTCAAAAATAACCCATTAGATCTACAGTAATTCTCTAAATAAACTAAGTCATCCTGAAGTTTTGCACAATCTTCGTTTGTTTTTATAATTTTAAAAATCTTTGTGTCATCTGCATAAAGTAGTATATTAGAATTTTGAAAAGACTGTAACATGTCATTTATGAATATATTAAAAAGAAGAGGGCCAAGGTGAGAACCCTGTGGAACTCCAGATGTAATGGGAACAAAGCTAGAGATAAATCCCTTAACAGCCACCGCTTGAGACCTGTCGCAAAGATAAGATTCAAGCCACCTTAAGAGATCACCATGTATACCAGCATGCTCTATTTTGCGAATTAATATAGAATGTGAGATCTTATCAAAGGCTTTGGAGAAGTCGGTATAAACGGCATCGATTTGAAATCCGCTACTCATAGCTGAGAGCACAATATTCAGGAATTCGCACAAATTTGATTCAGTTGAACGTCTATTAACAAATCCATGTTGTTGTGAAATAAGTAAGGGTCGCAATAAGGGGAATAGAGTATCATAAATAATTTTTTCTAATAATTTTGGTATTACTGATATTTTTGATATTCCTCTATAGTTTCTAATATTATGCTTATCTCCATTTTTAAATATTGGAACAATAATAGATTTCTTCCAGATTGGTGGCAATACACCTGAATGTAAAGATTTCATAAATAGTATGTGTAGCGGAATAGAGATTTGACTACTACAACGTTTGAAAAATATAGGATGCAATTGGTCAGGGCCACTTCCTTTGGAACAATCAAGCTTTAATAAATATTTTTCGATGGTCTCTTTAGTTATATTAATATTGCCAATAGATATATTATGTCTAGAAGGTAAGATATGTTCTCTAGTTTTAATATTTCTGTGGGCGCTAGCCCAAAAATTGTAAGGGCTGGGACACCTCACATAGACGATGAGCTGAAGCGGGGGTTGGAGTTGTAAGGGAGAGAGATGTAAGGGTGTGCACTTACTTGGAATGTAGATGGGCGGATGATAGATGGATAGCGCTGGGTGAGTGGCACGCTCCTGAGCTGAATATACCTTTGCACGTATAGGTACACGTGCAACAAAGTTTTTTATTATACGCTATATTCACTATCACTGTTCAATTGTCTGTATAGTTTACTTTAATAGAAGCCGGCCGGCAATATACTTATAATAATTCACACACGAGCAGATGAGCTGAAGGGTTTTACTTTTACATATATTTTCAATTTAACGACCCTTCTCGAACCGTGGACGACGCGTGACCATTTTCGAGTGGCGCGCATGCGACGCTCGCGCCGAATCAATGAGTAAGAGTGAGAAAGCAAATCAGGGAACCAATCGTCGCGCCCGAGTGGCGCGAACAATTTCCGTCAACTTCAAAAACAGATTGAAAGAATGAGTTAAACAAGTTAGCTATAGTTTGACCATCGGAACCAAACTGATTATCAAGAAACATATTCTCTGGGATACAGTTACTAAATCGCTTTGATTTTACATAGGACCAAAAGTGTTTTGAATTATAGCGAATATTTGTTTCTGCCATTTCTATGAAAAAATTATAACATTCTAATTCTAGATCCTTAGTTTCACGACGAAGTTCTGAGAAGCGGTCATAATCGCTAGGTCGTCCATAAATTTTCCATTTTTTATGTATCTTGCCTAACCTATCACCGCGAGGACTTAATTATCCCACAAGACTTTGTGAAAGAAATAGTTAAGTTGAATACTAGAATAGTATTAAGTGAGATTGGCCACCATGCCCAAAATCGGTCTGGAGGATATTATCTATACATATAATAAAATTGTAACATGTAAGTATCCTATATGTTGACCCGACTAACCAACTATCATCATACCAACTTTCATTAAAATCCCTCCAGTGGATTTTTCCGTGATGCGGTAACAGACAGACAGACAGACAAAAATTCTAAAAACTATAGATTCGGCCTCTGTATCAATAATAATGTCTATTTCAATAAGATTTTCCAAAAAATATTTAATGTACAGATTCGGCTTAGTTGCACTTTTATTATACGAGTATGTATAGATAATCCAATTTAACTAACTTCAATTTCAATGAGTTTTAATCTCACCTTAAGGGCATTGAGAGCAGTCCAACTACATTTTTAATGTTAAAGCTGAATTCTTTATTATTACAAATGTACTTGCACTTGAATTTATCTTGAAGTCCACTTTTGCTCTGTTTTTAATAAAACATTTCTACGCTATTCTATATTCAGAAAAAACATTGTTTCAAGAAACTTTCAATAAAATGTAGCATTGTGTCAAGTAAAATCCATAAACTGTTAGAGCAACAATTATAATAATGGAGAATCAAGACTGAATCTGTGTATCAGAAATAAATAGTAAAAGATAAAAGAATAGTGTTAAATATTGACAGAAAAAATACTGGATTAAAACCTAATGGAACTTTTAAAATGTTTATTCTAATTAGAAAAAATGAACAAAGTTTAAGCAAGTTGTATAAGAATAACTTAAAGAAAACTAATTCATAAAATTATTTGCTAGCAATATATTTAATACAATCATATATCTGCGAACGAAGAAGTCAGTATAATTAATTTAAATGGATATTAAATAATAATAATGTTAATGATTATGACAAATATCTACCCGACCACTGGACGAATCTAGTATGCTTAATATTTCCATATAAGTACCAAATATTGCGGTTTTTGCTGGACGCTAGAATTAACAGATATGGACGGAAATTCGGTGAAACAATTGAAACAACCCAAGCCTATTTATTAAAAAGAAGTTTTCAATAAATCTAAATAAAAAAAATATTTTTGTTCCAAAGAGGAGCACTTCACTTAAAAACCTCATTATTTTTAAACTTTTATAATGTATGTAGTCAAGCCCAAAGAGATATCATGTTTTGTTGTTTGTTTTTATATTTTTTTAAATGCGTATAGTTCCAGAGATTATTATATTATATTTGAAACATTTATCGCCCCGACTTTAACGCTTAGTATGGAATAGGTAGACTATATACATAGGTATGGTGAGTTTTATATCCCTTACTTGAGAAATTATTGATTCCTCATATAAACTTCCACCACCCCTTTCACCTTCTTAAGGGACGATTTTCAGGATAAAAACTATCCTATGTCCTTCCTAGAGTCTCAAACTATCTCCATACTGAATTTCACCTAAATCGGTTCAGCAGATAAAGCGTGAAAGACAGGGTTACTTTCGCATTTATAACATTATTATAGTACTAGCGACACAACCTCGCTCCGCTCGGGTCCGTCCCTAGTAATAATTTAGGTTTGTATAGGTATATTTTAATGCCAAATCATAAAAAAAAATTAAGTAAAAAATTTTGTCCAAAAAAAATTTTTTTTTTTGGGATGGACCACCCTTTTCACTTACGGGTATGAAAAATAGTTTACATCCTATTCTCAGACCTACTGAATATACACACAAAATTTCATAAGAATCGGTGAAGCCGTTTCGAAAAAGGTTTTGAAAAAACGTCATAAGATAATTTATCTATACAATTTTATTTGTTTGAACGCGCTTGCCTAAATCTTCTGGTCCGTTTTTCAACCGACTTCAAAAAGGAGGAGGTTTTCAATTCGACTGTATGTTTTTTTTTATGTTTGTTACCTCAGAACTCCGTCATTTATTAACCGATTTGGACAATTTTTGTTTTGTTTGAAAGGGTATACTCCCATTTAAATTTCAAAAAAAAATACCACCCCTAAGGGTGGAAAAACAACTAATGATGAATTTAACCTACTTCTAATTGTCATATTGACTTGAAACTTTGCAAGTATTTCTATTTCCGTTGATAGTACAGTGGTTCAGTGTTGTTGACCTGATCTGATGGCAAGGCCAGAAGGTGGATATGTGTAACTCTTCAACGGCTAATAGTAGATACTTTGAGTTTGGGCTTATTTTGTTTGATTTGACAAGCCTAACACGTTAGAATCCTTATTTTGCTACTACTGTCTACACTAAAAAGGGAAAAATAAAAACTTTTTAACAAAAAAATAAAAACCGACTTCAAACAAAAGCACTAAAAAGTAAAAAATAACTGATTTGTAGTTTTCATTTACTATACATACCTAATCAAATATTTTCGAAGTCGGTGTGCTTTGGCTAAGTAATTAAAGCCTACCTATTAAATACATACCTAATCAAATATTTTCGAAATCGGTGCCAGCCCATACAAAGCAAAGCACACCGACTTCGAAAATATTTGATTAGGTATGTATAGTAAATGAAAACTACCAATCAGTTATTTTTTACTTTTTAGTGCTTTTGTTTGAAGTCGGTTTTTATGTTTGTGTTAAAAAGTTTTTATTTAAAAATCTATATGGACTTTATAGGTTATTTCTTGAAGAAGGTTACAATTCATCTTACAAACAAATCTCTAGTTACTAGTTATGAATAAAAATAAATGTTAAAAATTAAAAAAATATATGAACAAGTATTATAATTAAAAATTAATTTAAATGTCACCTGTCAAAAGATATGCCAGTAAGTGTGAAGACGCTTGCCGCTACAGTCACGTTCGCGATAAAGTTGCTAAGCTTGCAGTAACGAACTCCAAACACCCAGTCGCTGAAAATGAAATATCGCATTAACATTTATAATTCTTTGATTTATCAGAATTAGAAAACGATTGTTTTCTCTTAAATTTAGTAGAAAACTCAATATTTATGAATTTCTGTTGTTATTCGTACTTAAAATGAGGACTAATAAAAATAATTATTCGTATTTTAATATGAAGAATCTATACTAATAATATAATATTACAAAGAGGTAAAGTTTGTGAGTTTGTGACGTTGTAAGGGGTAATCTGTGGATCTACTAAACCGACTTAGATGAAATTTGAGACCCTGGGAAGGACATCGGATACTTTTTATCCCGGAAATCATCCCATAAGCGGGTGAAAATGGGGACGAAAGTGTGTATGGGAATCAAGCTAGGGATGAACTCGAGCGAAGCGAGGGCGAGTCGCTAGTTATAAATAAAGAAGTTATAAATAAAGTTGCTATTCGTCCGATAATCGGATGAATAAAAAATATATTATTCGTACGAATTGTCGGTTTGTACGAATATTTACCACTTTTTGTGTTTTCTAATGTAAAATAAATGATTTTTAAGTGCAGGAGTTACTATAGTATACTAAAAAAACCTAAGCCTTAACTGAAAACCTTTTCTTTTAAATCCCAATGATTTTTAAGTTCAAGAGTTTTTAAGGTTAAAAAATTATTTTTAGGCGTAGGAGTTTCTGTATGCAGAAATCCCTTAACCTACCGAGCTGAGATAAAATACTTATTCTACTCATTTATTAGTCTATTCGTCCTTCTTTATAATTTATATATTTTGTAAAGGACGAATAATTATTTTTGATTCGTCCTTTTAAAGCACGAATAGTTCGAAACGAATATAATTTTTAAATGGAGTGTCCATTTAAGAATTCAAAGAACTAGCCCACATAAAGCGCTACTGTAATACATTAGAACACTCCACGCCTACGCCAGGTTTTTGTATTTATTGGATTTACGGGTGAAACTTTCATACATACTAAAAGTATAAATAGAAAATAATGTGAATACTTCGGTAATTAATTAATGCAACACAAGTACAATGAAGGGTTAATCACTGGATTTACCTAAGCCCCTTTCTATTTTAGGAACTACTGTCGATTAATACCATCCTAGATCGAGGGATCAACATGTCTTTTAAGCATGGAAACTGATCATTATACCACTAAGCTGCCACTCAATCAAGTGTGCTAGCGAAGATTTTCAATTTGGATGACTGCCGTGGAAAATCTCAATAGCCCCCACTAGATTACTCGGCAATACTTTAGATAGACCATGGCTTATTTATAAGTAAATATAAAAATTTGTTTTGAGTTTAGAGATACTACAACCGCGATACTAGGTAGTCGTCAATATTTTCAACTATAATTTTCTTACCTTAGTTGAAAGATAAAATGAAAGATAAATATACCTTTAAAAGAGCAATTCGTGTATATTTATTTATTTACCTATATACATATACCGACGTTCTCGGAAACGGCTCTACCGATTTCGCTGAAATTTGTTAGTGGGGGTATTCGGAGACCAAAAATCGATCTAGTTTAGTCTTATGTCTGGAAAAACGCGTGTTTTTGAGTTTTCATACGGTTTTATTTTGCAATATTCCACGCAAAATATGGTCACTAATTTCGCACGCTCGGGCATAAGCATCGTGGTCAAGCGGCTTAGGCGCAAGATTGACAATCACAGGTGATAGATACAAAGTTTTTACTTTTACTTTTTTTATTTATTGCTATTTTTTTGTTTTTAAGCCAAATTAAAAAGAAAATAGTACTTTTGGACAAAAACTCCAAGCGAAGCTCGCTCGCCCAGGTACTGAAAGAGTAAAGAAAGTACTGTTGGCTACTTATCTAGATAGAACTTGATAACTTTTTATGCACTAAACGTAACAAGATTTATGTAATCAATCAGTGATAAAATATTTCATGCTGAACATTCTCGAAAGAAAAGCAATTAATATTTACCCTGAGCAGATATCGAACTAACAACTTTTGTTGTAAATTCTCTATAGCTTTTAATCCTTATTATGACTGTGAAACTAACATTGTCTTGTTTTGTTTCGTTTATTAAATTTTCAGGCTCAAAGCACACAACAGATTTCAATGAAATTTGGAAAGGACATAGATACGTCACGAGGCCAGGCACAGACTTCTTTTTATCCCCGACCGCCCTTATAACTGCGGACAAAAGGTATTATTTTATTTTCTTATGTCTAATTTTATGTTAGCTTAAAAACAATATGGTAAACGTTTCCCATAAAAGAAAATATATTATAACGACAGAAACGTGATGCTCGATAAAATGAGCAATATTTCCTTATATTAAGGAAAGCGGTTGCCCTTATCTACAAAAAATATTACTTCTTATAAGACTTCCTTTTTTGAGGTATCAAATTAGATAATAGATATGTAGCCAATATCTTGAAAAATGTGATTTTTTTATTACTGTGTGTATATGAAATACTATATAGAATTTGATGAATCACACTTTAATGAAATGCTAGAAGAAGTTTGATATGAGCGAGTGTCTTAGTATTTGAAACTTTGCGCAGACAATTTACTAAAAAATGATTTTTTAATAATCAACGATACAGCGAAGTTTAATAATAATTGTTCAAAATACGTAACAAAGTGCTATACCTAGATATTCTTTAGTTATTACTAGCTTACTCGACAGATGCTATCCTGTTCGAATTCCAATAAATTTGTTTGTCATGTTTCAGTAATAATTCAAGAATATGCAAAAAATATTCAATTAAATAATATTGAGAGGCTGAAAATTATACGCCTTTTACGTGAGAATTTAAAAGAATTATGAGAAAAAAATTAGCCGAAAGTTTAAAAAAACATCTGGGTCTTGACAGCGCCAACTATCGGGTTTAACTATAGCTAAAAAGCGTCCAATTATCACGAAAGTACACGAAAAAAACAAATTCGGTCAAGCATTTAAAAAGGAAAATTACAAACACACGCACACCAACGCATTATAATACTATAAATGTGAAAATGTGTTTGTTTGTTTGTCCTTCTTTAACATCGAAACAGAGTGACGGATTGGCATGATTTCTTGTGTAGAGCTAGTTGCAGGACTGGAGTGATAAAGGCTACTTTTTACCTCGGGAGATTATCTCATTCCCACGAGATAACACGTTATAATACAACATACAACTCAGCATACCGCATACCTATGTATATATAGTTTACTCTTCCAAAATAACCATTAAAATGCACCTAGGGACGTACCCGAGCGAAGCGAGGGTGATTCGAAAGATTCTAGCAATTACACAGTTTTATTTTACTTTATATTCAACTTAAATTACGTACGTGTGTATACGAATACTTGTAAGTTATCATGATGAAGTTTGAAAAAGCAATATTTTTTCCATTAAAATCAAATGAACGGTGAAGCCACATTTTATTAAAGAAATCTCGTATAATTGAAAGAAATATTTATAAAACCACAACCCTTATTGAAGTGAAGATAAGACCTTAGTTATTTAATTGAAACACCCGCGTCATAATCTCAATTTGTCCCAAGATGGCGATAAATATTATATAGATATAATATTATGATATCTTAAACAAAAATTAAAACGTACTAATATAGTATATATAATAATAATTCACTGCGTCATTTAGAGACTCATAATATTTTATATTAGTGTAATATCCTATTTCTATTCGTGTTTGTCATAATCTCGATCCTATCAGCTATAAGATTGAAATTTTACTAAAAGGATCGAACGTTTCAGTCAAGTGTGAAGTACTTTTAACTACCTATAAAAGTTAAAGTGTTGTCATTCAGATAGGTCTAGGTAAAGTAGTATAAAATGTAATTTTAACTAAGCAATAAAAATAATAAAGTGGTTTGTACTTAATGTATCCATTTCCATATATATACCTACTGTAAATCTAATTTATAACCGTGAATTTGCTCACTTGAGGTGTTTTCTTTTTTACCCGACTGCGCAACGCAAAGGGGGATAATGTAATTATCAGTCTATGGATGTATGTTTGTTAGGCTATATAAAAATAGTTAAAAATTAAAATGGCGGATTTCAGGCGCCAATATGTTTGTCTTTAAAAAAATCTTCCAAGCCAATCGAGTGGGGTATAAAAAAAAAAAGGTTTTTAACTGATCACTAAAATATATACAATTTACATAAAAAAACGAAAAGTAAATAGCTGTAAATAAAAAAAAACAAAAAATAAAAAAAACTGGACAGCATAAAAGCTAACTAAAAAGATGTAAACAACTTGACGAAGGAATATAGTATTATGCAGTCCGAAACATACACAATACACTCATGTACATCTCGCGAAAAGGTTGAATCGTATCCCGATACGTTCCCAGACAGACAGACAAAAATTATAAAAACTATATAGATTCGACCTCTGTATTAATAATTATCACTATTTCAATAAGATTTTCCAAAAAATATTTAATGTACAGATTCGGCTCAGTTACAATTTTATTTGAATACTAGCAGAACCCGCTACTTCGCTCGCGCTACTACTACAAAAAAATATCTAAAAAGGTAGTTTCATACAAACTTTCTTATGTCAGTGAACTTAGCAGATCATTGTCCAGCAGATCAAAAAAAAATGTGAGTTTTATTCGCATGCACCTGAGTTCTACAGTTCCTGATACTTTCTGATTCTGATCTGCTACGGGAAGTTAGGAGATCATTTTGTCAATTGACTTTTTTTAAGGTAAAAACGCCAGAACTATTTCTAAAAGTATCAGGAACTGTAGAACTCAGGTGCATACGAATAGAACTCACATTTTTTTTGATCTGCTGGACAATGATCTGCTAAGTTCACTGACATAACTTTCTTTCCCTATTTTACCCCCTTATAGGATGAATTTCGTAAAATGCTAAAGCACATGTTTATTTAATTTTATTGAAGAACATTAATTACCGAGTTTCAAGTATTTATTTTGAATTGTATTATAACGTGTTTTCCCGTGGGAATTAGATAATTTTCCGCGGTAAAAAGTAACCTATGTCACTCTCCAGCCCTCCAACTATCTACACACAAAAAATAACGCCAATTCGTCACTTCTTTTCGACGTGAAAGAAAGACAAACAAACAAACACACTTTCACATTTATAAAATCAGTATAGATTAAAAATAAGGCACACAAAATTTTATCTTATTTTTACTAAAAGGCTAACAGTTTTTCCATTTCCTTGTTCATATTTTAACGCGCTTTTGATGTTTAACTTAGGAAGAATTTCATAGCTGTTAAAAAATAAAACTTAAACATACTCTTAGATTGTTTATAATTTAAGAAGTATTGAAAGCTCTTAATAACGCGTTTTTATTAACAAAATGATTTTTTTTTAAAGTAATATTACTAATTATTATTAATGGACTTCAAAAACGTTTAATTTTTTTTATTGAATTTTGAGGATTTTATCAAAGATGACTTTACCGATTGAGTTAGTTTAAATTGTAATCTATTAGGGAAAATCCCGAATTAGACCTAAATCTAATCATTAATTTTAGCGCAATTACTTGAAACTTACAAACGTATATACATATATTATTATTTATTTCCGATGGAAGACAATATGATATACTTATTATGTGATATTATCTTGTTGATTTCAATTCAAACTACAACAATAAGCAACCCACATACTGCGGTTCGTCTTAAATGGCTACTAGTCATCCCTTTGGGGTATTTCTATATTATATACTACATATTACGAGTTTCACGCATGCTAAATTTTATTTCGCAAATGCCACGTGTATATGTATGTCGGTGTTAGTATAAACCAAGAGGTGGCGGTGAAGCCAGTTCAAAACTCAGGTCTCGGAACTTTAATATTTTCAAGTGTCAATCGTTTTAACATGATTACCACTTGTCTTAAAGCGACGGAAAACATCGTGAGGAAACCTGTATGTCTGAAAGAACCTGTGAACCTATGAATTTTATATTTATTTCTTTTACATTTATAGTCAAAGAAGTCAAACAAGAAGGTTCAGAGCAGGCGAAAGTGTAAATAAAAAGAAAAATTAAACTTGCAGAAAGTTGAAAGTTTAATTTACATACCTATTTTGTAAACAAAGTGCCAGCTCAATTGTACTGTTGTAAGCGTACTACTTTCTAGATCTTAACACTTTTTTAATAATCTAATATGGGATTCTGGGAATTACTCAAGCGCGGCAGATTAAGATGCGGTGGAAAAGATGCAGGTGCAGAAATGTGTGCAGGTGCAGGTGCAGAAAAGTGTGATTTTCAGTAATTAATCTACCAATTTCCACAAGCCAAAGAAACAATAATCTTCCATAGAGTTTATAGCACTTGCAGCTGAAGTGAAAAAGAAAAATTTTCTTTCATTCTTTCTCTATCTCTCACTCCCTTGTACCATACCATTCCCACACTACTTTCCGTTACCATGATGAATATACAGAAAAAAAATATAAAAAGAAATTGAACCGTCATATTAAGTTCCTTAAAATAATTATCAGATCAGAACCAATAGGATATCAAGCTGTACCGTCTGTATACGCTCGAGTATTTCAAAATAGCGATTTTTATTGCATTTTCATAAAACCATCACGACGTGTTACGTCCTTGCCGTTGTCCGAATCGTCAGTTTGAGAGCTTTCGGTTTCATTTAACAGTATTTTCATGTGACTATTTTTTGTTCATTTTTGAAAGCCTTAGGACGCTCCCCCCACTGGTGAAAGGGTATGTATTATATATAACCTTCTTTTTTTCTAACATCTGATCTTCAAAATCTAATAGGCCCCCACGACGCTCGAGTAAATTTTACTTTTATTTAGCATCATGAGCTCGCCTATTATAAACAATCAGCAATATTTAGTACGCTTTCACGAAACCGTAATTTACGAGGGATAATCTTGGTATCATATAATAAAAATATATATAAAGTCATTGTCATTCACATAATAGTTGTTAGTTGCTATCGTAAGTATCTTGGATGGAATATAAGTACAAAACATTTTCTGAAACAAAATTCCCAATATTTCACTCAAAATGTAAACTTATATTAATCCCTCCACGACCGCGGACACGCCGGCGCGCAGCGTGTCAGCAATTGATTTCTTAGAATTTTAATTAATTTCTTAGAAATTTACCTGGAGGTGTTAATATTATAAAGAGAAATCAATTGGCTTTTTGTATATTTGTTTGTAATAAATAAACTCAAAAACTACTTATCCGATTTTAATATAGAAACTTATAGAAAGCTACATTATCAGCAAGTAACATAGGTACTTTATTTACAAAAAAAATTGCGATCTCAACGATTAAATAGTTCCAACTAAATAGCTATATAACCAACGTTGCTTATACTCGAATATATATAAAGTCCTCTTTAAAATATTCGAATTCCACATTTCGTTTAGATTTATTGCGTAAAATGTACCTACTTCGGGACGTATCGGGACGTAGCGAGTCTTTAGTGCGAGTATTACATAAGTTTAATAAAAGTTCCAGTTAAATAAATCGAAGAGGTTAGCGTCATTTATCTTTCTTGACTTGGGATAAAATCAATAGCGTGGACGGTGACAGGATAGTCTTACTTTTTTAAGGGTGAAATAGTATACAGGGTCATTTTTAATTTACTGAAAACCTTTTGGGAATATACTATTTACATCATAGCAACGACGTCTATAACAAGAGAAAATAATACTTTCTTAGTTTTACGCGAATATTTGACATTTTAAATAAAACTATCTTTTCGGATTATTTCGCGGGTTTATTTTGATTTTTGGTTCCCGACGTTTCGAATGCTTTACAGCATCCATGGTCACGGGAGAGACAGGTGTTACATGTCTTGAAGGTATAGTTGTTACAGACAGCCTACCCACAAGTAACAAAATTGTGGGTAGGCTGTCTGTAACAACTATACCTTCAAGACATGTAACACCTCAGTCTCTCCCGTGACCATGGATGCTGTAAAGCATTCGAAACGTCGGGAACCAAAAATCAAAATAAATCCGCCAAATAATCCGAAAAAGATAGTTTTATTTAAAAGAAAAAATAATATATCTTAAATTTTTATTTTCATACAAACATAAAAATATTTTTTTTGCACATTGTAAACTTCAAAGTTCCAGCATCTGGCCAAGTTTAAATGAGTAAGAGCGGCTTCCTACACCCCCCCACCCCTCCTTCTCCACCGGACACGCACTTTCTTTTGCTAATGCTGGACTATTACCGTTGAGAAGGTGCAATAAAAATATTTTTATTTTCGTTAAATTTAGGATATATATATTTTTTCTTACAGGTGTTGTTGTTATGTTGTAAATAGTGTATTCCCAAAAGGTTTTTAGTAAATTAAAAATGACCCTGTATATGTCTAAGGGGAACCGCTATTATATACGTGACATATCTACAATTTTACATGACCTTTGGTTTCCTCCTATGAAAGTGCTTAGGGCAGGAAACTCTAGCTTAATAATTTTAGAACTACTCGACCCTATATAAACATAAACTTGTTCTATTAACTGTTCAGTTTAATCTTTCATTCAAACCTTTATAGCTTTTTTTTGCTAAGCAACTTCCAAGAAAGACTTAACGATCAGTAAAAGTAGTTAGTTTATTGTATCTAAACTAAATAACTCTCTCTAATTTGACGACACGTTAGGCTGAGTTTGTAGTGACCCTACTTGCTGTGCCAACGGTCGCGGGTTCGAGTCCCGCTGGGGGCATTCATTTGTGAGATGAGCACGAATGTTTGTAGTCCAGTCATGGGTGTTTATATTTATAATATATATGTATTTAAAGTTATATATGTGTAGTGTATCAACTATCTGGTATACATAACACAAGCCTCGTAGCTTACCATGGAACAAGATGGTGTTGTGTTTCAATGTCCCAACATATTTATTTATTATAATAAATCTCTAAGATAGGTTGACTGTCTACAATCAATATTTGAAAACAACCTGGGAATCACATATTAGACATTACGTTTTGGTATGCGATTTCCACACATTCATAAGTGTTTTTAGAGAATAGCCTCCATAAATAACATTTTAGACTGAGAACTAAAATAATAAATAGCTTATGCTACTTTGGAATTATTAATGAATCTTGTAGTTTCAGAGTTTATTGATTACAAACCTACAAACAAAACCTTCCTCTTTATTAAATTACTAGCGACTCAAACTCGCTTCGCTCCGGTTCGTCTCTAGCTTGATTCCACATACAAACTTTCATCCCCATTTTACCCCCTTAAGGGATGATTTCCAGGATAAAAAGTATTCTATTTCCTTTCCATGGTCTCAAACTATTTTCTTACCAAATTTCATCTAAATCGGTTCAGTAGACCCAGAGATTACCCCCTAGAACGTCACAAATTCACAAACTTTACCTCTTCATAATATTAGTATAGATATAAAAGTAAATAGCCGTTTTAGAAAGACATATCTAAGCGCCAAGATATTGATTAATCTAGTATTGCAAAAACCTCTGTTTCAGGTTACGTTAGAAAAATCAATTGGTAGACAGATTATTTACATACTTTTTTGCTTTTATTATTTGTTTGTTTTCATTATTTTTAAAGATAAAATTTTCCTTAACGGTTACGAAACAATAAAAAAAATGAAGTATATAACTGTAATATAATAATAAAAAATAATGAAATCTGATACCTGTGTAACATATATATGAAGTTGAAGAGGCAATTCAGTGAGGCCATCATCAAGTCGGCGAAGGACAGGTTCACCAGAAAGTAATTTGTCACCGTTCTCATTCGCCTGTGCGCTGTAACATAATATACAAGTTAGTATATTTTGAGATAATTTGCTATTAAAATTAAATTTTGGGAATACAAAGTTTAAAAATTTATTTGAATTTGTCAATTTTTGCACATTATTGTGGGACTGATTTGGATGAAACTTGGCACAAATATAGACCATGTCCTGGATTGAAGGATAATACACTATTATCCCGGACCGTATGTCAAGTGCATCTCTTGGGATGCACCTAGAGATGCTAATTATGTAATCTATAGGTACTTATGTGCGCACGTTAAATGTTATACTTTCTTGGCGTAACAGAACAAAAATAGAAAAAAAAAAGATTTCATCCCGTATGTCACAACTCTTTGTTTGTAAAAGGAATGACGGGACGGGTTTGTCCAAATGGACTAATATCTAAAACTGCCAGTCCAAATTTAACAGAAAATCATTTTGCATTTATAGTGTCTGTATTGGGGAATAAGCAGCAGTAGTCTAATTATATATTGCTGTAGCAGGATATAATTAGCCTGCTGTAGCAAAGTCATTGTATTTATTTAAAGTAGACTAGTGCTAAAAGCTACTATTATGATAATTATTATGAAAGTTTGAATAAATAACACAACTGTTAATACTAAAAGTAAACAGGCTGATATGATCTACATTTATTTTAGCTTGAAAATAAATATCCGATAGGCAATCTCTATTCTACTGTACTATTTACTAAAGCTGGTCAATAGCTAGCAAAAACCAAAATCCGTTGACAAACAGAGGACAAAAAATTACTTTAATGTTTTAGTGTAATGAAAAACCTGTTTCCAAATATATTTTTTACTAATGAAACCAAAGCTCGTCAATAGCTGTTAAATAAAGAAAATCGATTGATAAACTTATATAAAGTACCAATACATATATTATGAAGGTAGATGTTAGCATAATACTTACAAACTACTCTCTTTAAATTAAAACCTACTCTTTTTTAACTGAAAATTGCTTGAATCGTTTATTAAACATAGTAGACAAGCTGTGGGTATTTAAAAAATATGGCAAAAGGATCAAAATAAAACGTTTGTTATATAAAATAGTTTAACCAAAGTACGTACTCGCTTTGTCGCTACATACTTTGAGCTTAAAAATAGTCCATATTTTTTTCATGAAGATAGTTTGCGGCATGGAAAGTAACATAAAAACGTATAGCATTTTTTGCTTATCCTCAATATAAGCATTTTGTCTCTTAAAATAAGAATAAATCCTTTATAGCAGCAATCTATAATATAAGAATGAATCGCTGAATGTGTCGGTAAGCGCAAATCTCGAGAGCAGCTGAACCGATTTCACTAATTCTTTTTTTAGAATATTCCTTGAAGTACGAAGATGGTTCTTACGGAGAGAAAAATTTAAAAAATTGCCTGAAAATGTCTACAAGCAACACTTTCCTATACTTCCATACAAAAGATTCGTAATAATACTTAAAAGTCAATTTGAACTTTAATACCATACCATAAAGTTTAAGTGTTAGTGGAGAGGTTCCGGGAAGGCAAAACATTGATGGCAATAGAGTGACGTCAGAATCGTATAAATATTAATGTCAATATTTATCAATATTATTATATGAGGTATAATGTAAAACCAAGTCGGTTAATTTATTCATTACCTATCTATGGAAGCATCTATCCGACAACTTTGTCATAAATCGTTACCGAATTAGTTAAGTTACAACATTTTATATTAGATATATTTATTTCTTTAATTAATAGAATGACTTGGCCATCGCACGGAAACATCACACGGAATCACATAAGAGTCTACTACTTTAAATAGTTCTAATTATACATACCATGACCAAAGTGGACGGATGACTTGGTCAAAGTCGCTGGAGCCCACTGGATGCGGATGGCACAAGACTGGTTGTCGTGGAAATATTTGGGGGAGGCCTATGTCCAGCTGTGGACGTGTTTGGGCTGAGATGAACTGAACATAGCACTAGCGGGTCAAATTTATGTATACACTAACATAAATAATGCACTCAGAACTGTGAACTAATATTAGGTAAATTTTGTTATTTGTAGATTCTATTATCATGTGCTTACTGTACCTTATTCACTAAATATTCAATTATTACTACCTATAAAATTACTCCGATTCAATATATCAAAATAAAACGCAATCTGACATATATTTCATTAAAACTATAGGGGCGGATTAAGCAATCATATCTACCTTTTAACGTACTTTGTGAATTTTTGGATATGTGTTGAACTATTATTTATTGAGTAATATTAATTTTAAGATTAAAAATAATTGTGCTTATATTTTTATTAGATATTAGCCACTTACACTCACTTCGCTCGGGTGCGTTCGTTAGCAATTTCATGGATTTTAATTTTTTTGCGCAGAACCCTAATCTTTTTTTTGAATAAGTTACTCCTTATAACATAATCTATCTTTCAGTGAAAATCCCGTCAAAATCAGTCCAACCATTTCGGAGATTAGCCGGAACAAACAGACACACACAAAAAGTTGTAATTTTTTTTTAAATATAAGTACTATTTATAATTTCGTATTTAGTAAAAAGCTGTTATTTTTACATTACATACAGACACTTCTATTTTGTTTATCTGTATAGATGTAAAAAATCGTATGTGTGTTCGTAATACAATGTGTATACAGTATAAGATTTAGCTTTAAATAAACTCGGGAAGAGGAAAAACATTTTACAGGAGATGCAAAAATTATTACATAACTATTATCAGGCTTTTAACATCATTTTTTAATCTAAAATCTCAGTTACATTATAGGTTTCAGATCTAACATAACACAGAAACTTTTTTCTTATATTTATTCAATTAAATAATATCCAAAATTACTAATATTGTTCCAGAATTAGAATCTTGCTTGCGAGTTGGTAATAGGATATATTGCGAAAATTCTCTATTAATTTCTTATTAAATAAGTAATATTTCCAGAGCCATGAAAAAACTATTAAATTATTAAAGAACTAATTAATATTTATTACTATCTAAAAGATTAAATTTATATATTAAGAAGCCATATTCTTATACTGTGTAAGATAATTATTATTTGAATCAAATTTTATAAGATAGAAATTATTTAAAAAAAATATTAATTTACACTCAATAGAACCAAAACCAATCCTCGTGGGAAAACCTCGAATGTGTAAAAATGTTCTTGAAAGCTCAAGCTTTTATTAACGGTAGGCTAAAAGCAAGCTTTTAACTTTCAAATTAAAACAAAATTAAAATTAAATTGATCGTTAAAATAATTTATAAATTACGTACATACACTAAGGAGGCTTCATAATATTAATTGGTACTGATAATGAATGTTATTAAAAATGTTCGTAGATTTTTCGTTACATCATGCTGAAATTTCAGTTAATTAAGTAAAATATTGTATTTTACTTAATTAACTGTATTCTATAATAGTTTCCATTTCCTTTAAAATAAAATTAAAAGTCGAGAGGTATCGTGGAAACCCATGGCTCTTACTTACATTAGCTCACACACATTGTCCCGAGCCTAGTGTTCGTGGTATCATGAACAAGTCATGTACTTTGTACATGTTGAACTCATCGAAAAAGGCATACACAAATGCACACGAGTTTCTTGAAACATATACTCGTAACATAAATTCCTTAATTAATGCTTATGGTCACCTGCTATTTACGATAACGGCACATTGTGGATGTCCTCTGTCATAATATCTGCCTGGTATTCATGATGATGTCACATGGAGTGCTCTTAGTAGATAGTAATGCCTCCTTTTTGGAGATCGGTTAAAAAGTATCGTGATGGTAAAAATATTACACTTTTTTTCCGTCTAGGTCTCACTTGCCAAATGTACTGAGCATCGTGCGATAAGGAATTTCGTTCCTATATTTTTTTAATACATCCAAAAATAACATCTCTTAAATACTAAGAAATCTATTGTTAACTGTAACGCCGGCGTGTCCGCGGTTGTGCAGGGATTAAAATAGCGTATCCCGTGTTATAAACTATCCGGTTAGCTCTTTTTGGAGAATATAGATTTAATTTCTACTGCATTACCCAACAACAAAATGGATTTGAAGTAGCTTATACAAACAAATTTCAACAATTATTAGATACCTGTAACAATCCATATGACTATCGCGTTGCCACCAATAGCGACTGTGAGCATTGCAGCGAAGAGACACACCCAGGAATTGTGTGCCCATACCGGCATTACTGTTGAAGCCGGTGAAGGTGTGGGTTTCTTAGGCACCAATAGAGTGGCCGCCCCAAGAAGGCTTCGGTTGAAGTCCATTTCCCATGTGTATATGACCTGGATAATAAATATAATATAAAATTTTGGTTGTATTTTTATACATTTTTTGTTTGAAAATTCAAAATCAAATTAAAAATAGTAATTCTATGTACATTGTACATATGTACCTACTAGATAATAATTAAAGTTTGTATCTACAAATAAAAATCATCTACAAAAAATTGCCTGTAAGAAAGCTTTAACTAAACTATCAGATATTTAAATATTATTAAAAAACTACGATTAAAATTGGTTTATATCATTTGACCGCATTTCAAAAAAAAAATTTACAGTACGAAATTCTTTCACAGTGGAACGATGCCTCATGTTAATATTTTTTATTTACAATGTTCAAATAGCACTTTGCTAAATCTAATTTATGTATACATATGTAGGCTTTTTCCGAAGTTTCGCAAAAAAATGAACAATAGAATAATCGTAAAAGACTAAGTATCTGTATATACATAAATAGGTAAAAACAAAAAAAAAGGTAAAGCAGTATTGATAACACTTATTAATATTTTTTTAGAAATAGCTTTTTTATATATGACTAGCGGCTCACCCTCGCTTCGCTCGGGTTCGCCTCTAGAAAAACACTAATAGAGATCTATTAGTTCCCACGGGAACTGTTTATTTCTCCGGGATGAAAAGTAACCTGTTGTTTAACCGGCAATATAGGGTATCAGAATGTTAAATTTTACTAAATTAGGTGCATAAGTTGTTGTGTACTAAGCTGTATAAGTTATTATAGTTTTTAAACTATCTCACGGGAACTATTTAATTTTCCGGGATAAATAGTATTAAGATGTTGCCCAGGGATATAAGGTACTACTATGCAAAATTTCATTCAAATCGGTCCAATAGATTCGGAGATTAGCCCGTACAAACAGACAAACAGACAGAGAAACAAAAAAATTGAAAAAAATCTGGATTTGTTCTATTTGTCTTCTTACATCGCCCTGACTCGGTTTTCAGCATTTTTTTGATATGTACAGATGTTCGACCTCTACTCTTTTATTATAGTATAGATGTAAATCTTTATATTGACCATGTAATTATAATGTATTGAACTATTTTGTATTGTAAGTATGTAATATAAAAATGTACATTTTCCGATATACAATGATAGAATATAAAAGAGTTGAAAAAAATATAATATGTTTTGCTCTAATGTTCAATAAAGATTATAGACGAATTTCGACCACTAGGCGAACACTAGCTTTTATAAATACGTGAAAGTGTTTCCGTTAGTTTATTTTTTTTTACGGCATCGAATATTGGCATGATTTGTTTGCATATAAAAATAACACTGATTTTATCTATTACTAGCGACAAGCGTTAATCATGTAAATTTTATTTTTCTCCATGCTTTTTTGCGATGTTTTAATAGTTATTCCGCTATTCAGGGCGGGAACAAATCCAACAGATCAAAGACCATAAAAATAGGTCCAACCTTTCTTGTATTATAAATGGCGTAACTAAGCGGATATATATATATATATATTTGTTTAACTGCAAAACCATTAATTGTTTTTCCTTTATAAAAATAATCATACATAATAATATAATGCGATATCTCGCATATTAATAATAACTGAAATTTCTATAACAATAAATATGATCTGTAACTGCTATTATTCATAAAATGAAAATAAAGGTATTAATATAAAACATGTATGCGAGCCAACGTGAAAAGAATTACGACATTACAGGAAGCGGAAGAACCGGAGCACTTACCATTTTTCTTCACCCTCATCCGAGAAGGGCTACGAAATTTTTTTAACTACTAAAAATATATAGGTTTATTTATACTTTTAAATATGTATATACAGGATTTTTTGTAAAAAAAATTTAGGATTCGAATTTTTGAAAACATAAGTTGTGGTGTGATATTGATGGTTTGTTATTTTTTAATAGACAAGTAGATAAGATTTTGTATACAACATCTTATTGTAAATGTGAAAGTTTGTGAGTATGGATGCTTGTTACTCTTTCACGCCAGAACGGCTGAGTGGATCTGGATGAAATTTGGCATAGATATAGATTATAGTCTGGAATAACACATAAACTCTTTATCCCGGAAAAATGTACGGTTCCCGTGGGACAGGTTTGTTTTTTTTAAAAGATCCAAGTAGTCCATTCAAAGTTCATTGAACGATGAAAAGTCGACGATAATACAATTTCATGTATCGTAAAAAGTAAAAACATATCTATCCCATGGGAACCGCACATTTTTCCGGAATAAAAGTAGCCTATGTGTTATTCTGATGTATAAGCTATATTATTATAAAATTTCATTAAAATCCATTCAGTCGTTTTTACGTGAAAGAGAAACATCCTCACAAACTTTCGCATTTATAATATTAGTAGGAAATAGTGTATTAGTAGGAAGTTAAGAAATAAATAAATTTAAAAGCGTATCTGTCATTTGTAAAGACCTATCCAAAATCGCCTAAAGTATTATGGACTTTCATTTTTTTCTCATCTCAGTTACATCTTTAAAGTGCTACCTTTAACTATGGTTCACATAAAATATCTATATTCTACTATATAGTTAATTAATGTTCGTAATATAGGGATGCGTACTGACATGATAAAATTATAAGTTTTATGGTTTGGGAACCCTAAAAAATTCTAAAAGTAAAATATGTGCACTTTCACTACATTTCATATATATATACTAAAAGCTACTTATAATTAACATATACTTCAACGACTCTATGGACGAAATACTGAATAGAAAACTCTGGCGAATTTATCCTGCTGAACTCAGTCAAGTTATTAATAGAACATTAAGTGAAGATTGACCTAGAGGGAAAATATGATATTATTTGCGGCCCCGCACTAAGCAAATTCATGCCAGTTAGCTTTAAAATATAAATCCAGCAACTTTTTGTATAATCCTTAGAAATGTATCCTGTAAACCAAAATTAATGATGTCTCCTGCAGATTAGAAGCGACTTTTGGTCAGTACGTATTTATTTTCCTTGTTATATCCAGGAAAATTGTAATAGTTATCGTAAAATTAAATTGCCTACATCGTGTACTCATACGTTGTTTATTTAGTTGGCGCGGTTCCAATAGCAGAAATCCATAATATCCTCTTACTTTCATTGAGTTCATAAAACTATTTATCCCCTTACTACTGTTTTACGGCTACATTGAGTCCGGCTTATGTGAAACCTCTTCACAAAAGTTGATGTTGGTCGAGGCTTTTTGTTCTTGACGTTAATAAAAAAAATATTAAAAATGTGTCCTGATGATGTTAAGGAACTTAATAGAAGGAAAATTTGCAATTTTTTGGCCTTTATCTAATTGATTTTACGGCCTATCCCTATCTATCAAAACGCTGCCTCAGGAGAAGAGCGATTAGGTATAGGAAGATAAATAGACTACGTGGGTAACTTTTACATGTTCGTTTACGATTATAAATGCAAAATTTTATATATATATATATCATATTATCTATATAAGACACACATATTATTTGTGTGTATGTTTGTTACTTCGTCAGGCAGAATCGGCTGGATGGAATTGGGTGGAATTCATTTAGTTCACAGATATTCTAAGACTTAAAGTAACACAGGCAGACTATTATATACAACTATTAAGCACATAGGATCTGGAGCGAAGCGAGGGTGAGTCATTAGGCGGATTACTACTACACGTGCAAATGTTCGCGTATACCTACGTTTGTTATTTCTTCGCGCGGATTGGGATGAAAATTGGTACTCGGATAAAGTATGACCTAGAATAACACAAGCTAGTTGCTAGTCTATACTATAATATTATAAAGAGAAAAAAAATGTTTTTTTTGTATGTTCGTTTGTAATGAATAAACTAAAAAACTACTGGACCAATTTAAATAAAGTTAACTAACTATCAAAAGCTACATTATCAGCCAATAACATGGAACATATATATATTTTTAAATTTAGAGGTCCCCACAGAAATTGTAATAATGTAACCTAAAATATCAAAGATTTGTCTATAATAGTCGTTGTTTGGCGTGCGCTGTGAAAACTAGGACCTGAGCGAGGCGGATTCACTAGTGTATAATAAAACAAAATGCATATTTGAATAAATATGTGATATAATAAAACAAAAGGCGTAGTTGAAATAATATGTAAGGCTCAGCTCGTTGAAGCTAAAATTAATAAGACCTTCTGTTTGTTTTGAAAGTATGTATGTAACAGCTGAACATATTCCTAAATCTGTTATTGTAGTGCAGATGCTAAATTGATTCATGAAACTTGTGGTTTCAAGTATCAATTCGACAATTTTGAAAATAAAATTGTTTTTTGACCGACTTCAAAAAATCTTCAACCAATTCTGTTGTATGCAATATTTTTAAATAACTACGATCTTTTTAAATAAAGCTATCATTTCAGATTTTTCCGCGGATTTATTTCGAAACGTCGATAATTAAAAATCAAAGTAAACCTGTGAAAAAATCCGAAAAAATTGTTTTATTTAAAAACCTAAATTTATTCGCGTTTTAAGACTTGAAAATAAAAAAGATTATTTAAACAAGTTTTTATTATCTTCCGGCTTCATCTCCAGACCCTCGTCCTCATGTGTACTAGAAGTATAATGACTATAAATATATGCTTGTTACGGGGAATCCCATATTTTCAAGAAAAATGATTCAACCGCTACGTGTGTAATAGTTAGTTTTAATTATTTTGAAAGCAACCTTTTTCGTATGTAATTATTCTATTATATAATATAATTATTCTAATATATACCATACAATTATTTTGTATACGTCTAAAACATGACATTAATATTCACAAAATAATTATATCGCCACGTCCTGGGTTGAATGTCAAATACGGTTAGAGTAAATTAGGGTAACTTTCGTAAGCCGTAGGATCAATAAGCGTTCGAATCGTCTACCATAAACATTTACTTTTTTTTAACCGACTTCCAAAAACGAAGAGGTTCTCAATTCGTCGGAATCTTTTTTTTATGTATGTTCACCGATTACTCGAAGACGCCTGAACCGATGTGGAAAATTTTTGTTTTGTTTCAATGGGTTTGTTCCAGGTGGTCCCATATAAATTTTATCGAAATCGGTTGAGCTGTTTTTAAAAAAATCAACAATAAATATATTTTTTTAAATAAATTGTTTAATCGAATATGTTATTAAAAAACTTTCTTCTTATAAATTACCTGCTTATTACGTCTACACTAAAAATGGAAAACTAAAAACTTTTTACCAAAAAATAAAAACCGACTTCCAGGCACTAAAATGTAAAAAATAACTAAACGGAGATTTTCATTTAGAATAGACACCTAATCAGATATTTTCGAAGTCGGTGCCAGCCGCTGCAAAGCAAATCTAATACATTTCGATATGATCTTAGAATATTGTAGGCTAGCACCGACTTCGAAAATATCTGATTAGGTATCTATTCTAAATAAAAACCTCCGTTTAGTTATTTTTTACATTTTAGTGCCTGGAAGTCGGTTTTTATTTTTTGGTAAAAAGTTTTTATTAATTTAAAAACTTATATAACTAAACAACTACTCCAGCTTATAAATTACGTATTATCTATTAAAATAACATTTTATGTGACTAGACATTTTAAACTGAACATTTGAAAGCTATATATATATATATATATATATATATATATATATATATATATATATATATATATATATATATATATAGCTTTCAAATGAAATAAAAATATATGAATAAAACTGAAGCTCGTCAACAGCTACTAAACAAAAACAGATGAGAACTTGACAAACAGAGGAGACAAAAATATATAACACGTTTGCCTTGCGCCGGCTGGCACTGACTCTAATATTGTGATTAGAAGAAATTATTGTAATAAAAAACCGAATTCAGTTGTTTTTTTATTTTTTTGTATCTTGAGATAGACTTACATTATTATTATTTTATTTTATTAAAGGCTTAAAAGCAAATACGGAATATAAATTTTTTTTCGAATTTACAAAGGAATTTAAAGTAATTTAACGCAAATTATTATTGTAATTACTAAAACAAGTTCTATGAACAGACGATTAATTAACATTAGCAAATTTTTCATTTAATAGTATTAAATATTATATATTATCTTCATGACAGAAGTCAGGCTGTGACCATTAAAGGTCATACCTCTTCTTTTGTCCCTGTCACTTCTGGTGTACCCTAGGGTTCTCATCTTGGTCCCCTTTTGTTTAATTTGTTCTTAAACGATATTGCTCGTATCTTTAAGAATTGTTCGTTTCCTTTATATGCAAATGATATTAACATTGTCAAGGAGATATCAAGCTCTTCAGACTGTGCACTTTTACAAGATGACTTAGACAGACTCATATATTGCTCTAACAACTATTAACACCATAACGTTAAAAAATGTTCTATTATGTCATTTTTCAGGAAACACACTACGACTGTTTTCTCATATGCACTTGGAGGCGAGGCATAAAAAGAGTTACGGAAGTGCGTGACTTAGGTATACTCCTTCATAGTAAATTAACCTTCAAGTTTCACATCAACGAGATGACTGCCAGAGCCTATAAATAGTTAGGTTTTATTCTTAGAGTAAGTAAAGATTTTAAAAATATCTCTACAATTATCTTATTGTATAATACCTTGGTACGCTCGATCTTAGAGTATGGCTCAGTAGTTTAAATCCACAATATAAGTTCAGTATCGAGACACTTGATAAAATCCAGCGTAAGTTTATCAAGCATTTGACTTTTAGAAATCGTTCCCTTCA